AGGGGATGAGAAGGAACAGCCATGTGAATGCGGGGGACAAGAGCTCCAGGGAGATCTGGAGCTGGGAAAACGCCCAAAGGCAGGAACAAACCCAGTGGTCAGGAGCTGGAAGGAGGCCGGTGAGCCTGGAGCAGAGTCATGCGGGAGAGAAAAGGACACAAATGTGGGGAGGGGAGGTAGGCAGGGGCTAGATCACCAAGGCCTGATTGGCCCCCATAGGAACTTTAGGTTTTATTCCATGTGCACAGAGAAGTTGCTGGAGAATTTTAAGAGGAGAAACAACATGATTTGCTTTTTGTTTTTAAAAGATCAGTGGCTTTTTTTTTATGGACTGATTTGGAGAGTGCAGGAGCAAAAGCATGTAACAGGAAATAGGCTATTTCGAGATATTATTAGGTATGGACCAGGGGAGATGGGAAAATGTGGAATGGAGGTGTGTTTTAGGGGTAGTATTAATAGAACTTTGCACAGGCTGAACATAGAAGGTGAGGGGAAGGAGAATCCAGGGACACACCCTGATTTTTTTTCTTTTTTTCATTTTGTGTTTTGTTGTTGTTGTCACTCTGATTTTTGACTTGAGCAACCGAATGAGGGTGGTGTCATTTCCTGGGATGAGGAAGAGTGTGGGTGAAAGAATGGAAGGACACAAATGTTTCATTCCAGATGGGAAGCCTGTGAGCTATCCACATGGAGTGGTCCAGGAGGCAGTGGAATACATCAGTCTGGAGTTCAAAAGAGAGGCTTATCGTGTTCCTAGGACACATAGGAATGATGTCACCTGGACCAGACTGAGCCCAGAGAAACTGTAGAGACTGGGTAGAGAAAGAGGGAGAGCAAAGGAAATTGATGAGGAGAAGCCAGAGAGGTAGAAGGGAAACCATGTGCATGATACCAAGGAGGCTGAGAGACTGGAGTGTTCCAGAAGGAGGCTGTGGCCAACTGGGTTGAATGCTTCTGAGAAGCTGAGGGAGGCAAAGACAGAAACGTGTTCACTGCACTTGGCAGCAGGAGGGGTGTTAGTGACCGGACAAAAGACATTTCTGGTGAATGGGGACGTGGAAGCCAGGTTGGAATGGGTTGGAGAAGGAACGGGAGGTAAGGAAGTAGACACAGCTGGCGTAGACACTTCTCAAGAAGTTTTTCTGTGAAGAGGAACAGAAAAATAGGGCAATGGCTGAAAGGAGATGTCAGCCAGAGGGTAGTTTTTTAATCTCTGCCACTACTTTTTAGATGGAAGACCCTAGAGCCTGCTCATAGGCGGAAAGAGGTTGGAGGGGGGTAGAGAGAAAATAACTGGAGAACGAGGTCCTCGGGAAACAAGAGGGGCCAGGGTCCTGAGCCCAGGGGAAGGCCTGGCCTGTGACAATGGTGATGGTTCTGTCACAGCAGGATGAAGGAAGGAGGGCCTGGTGCACGGAAACGGTTCTGCAGATCCGACAGGGTATGGCGGCTCCTGCTTCCTCAGAGAGGGCTGAGGCAAGGTCACCACGGGGAGGACAGTGGGCGATGGAGGAAAGAAGAGAAGGCACGAAACAGTTGTTCTCAGAAGTGGGAAGGCAAGCCTGCCAAAAAATCTGCACTTCCAGGGCTGGCAGGATCGAGGGCAGACCGAGAGTTTGTAACCACAAATTCAATGGGAACCAGCCGGTCGTGTCTTCTGTCTGGCGACACTCAGCTGCTCAGGGGCTGACTCAGAAAAAGCATCGCTGGGGACATGCAGGCGGGGGGTTCCCCAGGTGAGTGTGGTGAAAGGAGAGAGAATGAACCCTGGGAGTCGAGGGGGTTTTTGAGGGAGGGATTATAATGACGGATCTGGTAGCTGAGGCTGGCTGAGGAGGGAAGTCAGGTCAGAAGGGGTTTGGTGGTGAGGGAGAAGGTGCAGGGTCAAAGGACTGAAGGTGTCAAGACGCCCAAGGATGACAGCAACCGGGCATTTGGGCAGTGAGCTGAGAAGGTGGTAGGGGAGAGCTGGAAGCCGTGATATTGGAGGGTATGTGGTTTCTGGTTATGATTTAGGTTTGGGGTGCACTTAAAGGAGAAGGGGGCTGAGGTGTACTGTTCCTCTGATTCGTCCATTCATTTATTCATTCATTAAGCTTTTACTGAGCACTAGGCATGCTGGTGGCACAAACGAGGGGAGGGTTCCACCCAGCCAGGGAGTCCAGGGCAGGCTTCCTGGAGGAGGTGGGTCTTGTGTAGGTTGAGTCTGGAAGGGTGAATTGGAGCTTTCCAGGGAAACAAAGAGGACGGGTGCCCCAGGAGGCGAGCAGACCACAAGCAAAGGCACGGGGGTGGGAGTGGGAGGGAAACAGTTTGGCCCATTTGTGAAAATGGAGTTAGCATGGCCAGAAGGTGGGCACGTGCAGGGCAAGGGCGGATGGTGAGATAGGGGTGGGGTCATGGGGGGTCTCACGAGCCACATGGAGGAGTTCTGGACTTACTGTTAAGCACTGGAAAGCCACTGAAAGACTTAAGCAGGGACATGACAATCTGAGATTTAAGAAATGTAGATGGTGGACCGGAGGGGAGCGGGGTAGAAGGTAGAGAGGCAGGTGGGAGGTTATTTGACAAGAGCAGGTGAGGGGTGCCTGAAAGCAGCAATTGCATGGAGGATGGAGGGGACAGTGATGCTGGGGTGAGGGTGTGAGCAGGACAGGGGAACTTACTAGCTCCACCACCACGATGCTTTTGACAGCCACTGACCAAAACCTGGCTTCAACTGGCCAAACCACTGAGGACATTTTTCCCCTCCCATAACAAGACATCCAGACATTCAAGGTTGGTGAGAGGGTAGGAAGAGAGGAATTTAGGATGAAGGACAAATTTTGAAGGAAAAGGTGTATGTTGTACAAAGAAAACAGGGCTGCAGCCCAGGTCCTGGAGAAGTGTCTTCCAGGTTTGGGGAAGTTGAGGCTCACAGAGCAGCAATGGGAAGGTGGCCAGAGGGGTAGGCCACGCTCTCGCCCTCAAGAAGAAAGGTTGTGAGTGGTGTGAGATGCTCAGGGAGGTCGACTGAGAAGAAACCACTGGGTCTGTCCACGGGGGCCTCTGCTGACTCAGGTGAGAGCAGTTTCCTTGAGTGCTGGGGTTGGGAGCCAGACTATGTGTCCCTGGGTGTTGGTGGTTCCACTGGGCACCTGTGAAGGACAGAGTGAGCAGTATCAGGATCAGAGCATTGTGGCCAAGTGGGGACTGCAAACTGGGTGCACAGCAGCCATGGGGTCCCTCCAAGGCCCCCTGGCAGGTCGGTTTCTTCTGTGTGGTGACAAGCAGAGTGTGGGTGCATACGTGGGCAGGGGGTGGGGAGGAAGGTGGCAAGGTGCATGACAGGGCTACGAGGGTACAGCTGTGAGGGTCTGCGTGGGGGTGGCTTCAGGCTGGGCGTGTGTGTGTGTGTGTGTGTGTGCACATGCACGCCCATGCTCACGTTGGAGCCAATGAGCAGCTGAGGGACAGGGTCGGCAGGAATGAGCAGAGTCATCCCCGTGGAAACACGACTCCCTGGGTGCAGGGAGGGAGCAGCTGGGGAGCCGGGCACGGGGGCGTGGCCAGCTCTGCCCAATGGCTCTGGCCTCTCCCCGGCCCACCCTCTCCACCTGTTCCCAGAGCCTGGGAAGTGCCTGCGCTGGCCGGAGCAGGGGCACTGCTGCGGGCGTCAGGGACCGCTGTGAGAGGGCTGACCTCCACCGAAGCTCTGGGTGTCTTTTGGGTGTGTCCGAGTCCTTGTGGAGGAGAGGAGGCTCCGGGGTGTCTGTCCATGTGGGCCTTGCGGTGGCTGGCTTGTGTGTGGCTTGTGTGTGGCTGGGCTGCAGTGGTCTCCCTGTGCCTGCTGCTGATGTGGTCATTCCCCAGGGCCATTTGCAATAAGTGACCCACCATTTCCCTTCCACAGGGAACAGGGAGGGCTGGGCAGAAGGGGAGAGGGGTCAGTAGAGGCCCAAGTACTGGCCTAGGAGACAGTCCACACAGTGACCACAGGCTTCAAAGGCTCCGGGTGGGTGCTCCTTTCCCCCGTCCAGTTCATGCAGGGACCACCGGCAAAAACAGTCCCCAGGAGCTGCAGCCCTGCCCCCCCCATTGGAACTGTCCATCTGGCCCCGTGACCTTGCCTGTGCCTCCTCCTCTTCTGTGCTGGCATCTGCAGCTCTCCCGACACTGCAGCCCCCCTTCCACACTCCTCGTCTTCCTGCTCCAGCTCCTCTGTCTGCCCAGGGGGTTAGACCCCACAGGACCATGGGAAGGCACTGCTGGGACCCTCTTCAGGGCTCAGGGCCCTTCTTTCTTGACTCTGCAAGCCCAACACCAAGGACCCCAATAGTCAGGAAAGGGGAATCCACATCCCCGCATCTTCCCTCCAGGCCAGGCATGGGAAATACAGGCAGAGGCGCCACGTTCTTCCTTCCCATGCCCCTGGCAGACATCACTAATCAATCACAGCAAACTTTTTGCACTGAGTGTGGCTGCAACCTCAATGGTCTCCACCTACATTCCAGGTAGCCAACATTAGGCAATCCGGGTTGGCCTTCAAAATGAAATCCATCTGCCAATCCTGTTTTAGGCTGATCCCACCAGGTCCTTCATCTTGGCCCATCTAGAAGTCATATAGGCACAGCCAGCTATGGTTCTCTCTCTGTCCCCATAGGCTGAAGCCACACAGTTCCTGAAGCTTGTGCCCAGGAGGTGGTTGAGGTCACTGAGACATTGGCCCCAAGTCCCAAGGCCGAAGAGGATCTGGCTGGTTGGCTGTCAGTCCTGAGGGTGGCTCACCACACTGCTGGGGAGTGTGTGGTGTGGGGCTGGGGGTGATGCTCTGTGCCCAGCCCCCGTGCAGCAGCAGCACCCAGGCCTTGCAGGCACATCTCCCAATCCCCCCATCAAGCAGGAGGTGAGGAGTGGGCAGTAGGCCCAGAGCTGGGTAACCACCCAGCACCCCGGGGCTGCAGGCTGCAGCTGCCCCGGCCGCCCATCACCCTCCTGGCCCCTGAGCCCAGGATGCGAGAATGGCTAGGCCATCTCTGCCCACCCTGGTGCCTCTGGGCCCTGAGTGCCTGCGCCCCTTCACCCGGGAGTCCCTGGCAGCCATAGAACGAAGGGCAGTGGAGGAGGAGGCCCGGCAGCAGCGGAACAAGCAGATGGAGATCGAGGAGCCTGAACGGAAGCCACACAGGGATCTGGAGGCCGGCAAGAGCCTGCCCCTTATCTATGGGGACCCCCCACCGGAGGTTATCAGCACCCCCCTGGAGGACCTGGACCCCTACTACAGCGACAAGAAGGTCCGGGCCTAGGAGGGCTGCCCCTATCACCCATCTGTCTGTCTGTCCCAAGGCCTCACAGACTCTCTCCCTGCCTCAGACCTTCATCGTGCTCAACAAGGGCAAGGCCATCTTCCGCTTCTCTGCCACGCCTGCCCTCTACATGCTGAGCCCCTTCAGCATCGTCAGGCGCGGTGCCATCAAGGTGCTCATCCACTCATATCCTGCCCGAGTGGGAAGAGGTGGGAGGGTTGGGGCTGGGCAAAATGGGGTGCATTGGGCCAGGAGACACTGGGGCCACCTCCCCTTCCCACCTGCTCCTTCACTTTCCTTGACCCTTCCCCACGCTATTCAGCATGTTCATCATGATCACCATCTTGACCAACTGTGTGTTCATGACCATGAGCAACCCGCCTGCCTGGTCCAAGAACGTGGAGTAAGTCTCGCCTCTCCCTGAGCCCCCCAGCCCTGGGACACGGCCCATCTCAGGTGTCTGCACCTCTGAGCATACGCAGAGTAACACTGCTCTCGTCTTCCAGGGAGACACATGCTGTCACTGTTAACCCCATCAACACCTCAAGCCCCCGGGGTGGCATACACTATCACTCTCGCCAGCGTTCTCAGCCCTCTGAGTGACATATTTCATGTCTGTGGCCCTCCGTCCTGGGAGGTCCGTCATGGCCACACACACCCCTGCCCTGGTGACATGCCCTGCCTGGCTGGCCCTCTCCCCACCAGGTACACCTTCACAGGGATCTACACCTTTGAGTCCCTCATCAAGATCCTGGCCCGAGGCTTCTGCATTGATGACTTCACATTCCTCCGGGACCCCTGGAACTGGCTGGACTTCAGTGTCATCATGATGGCGTGAGCAGAGCCTTAGGCATCCTGAGGCTGGAGTGGAGGGGAGAGGACCAGGCCTCAAAGAGGACAGCCGACTGGCTGACCCTCTCAGAGGGGTGGGTGGCAGGGGCCATCGCTCAGCTGTGCAGACAGTGAGCTGCCCAGTTCTAGGAGCCGCCGTTCCCAAAGTCTGCCTGGGAGCTCTCCTGATGTCCCCTCCACACACCACGTTTAACCACATGAGGCAGCCTGACCCACAGATGACAGGCCCTCACTCATGGCGAGCTGGGCTGTCCTTGCCACCCCACTCCCCAGCAGCAAAACTCCTGCACTGTCCTTCCCAACTCTTGGGCCAAAGTAGGAACCTTGGGAGTGTCTGACTTGCCCCCCAGACCCATGCGATACCCCAGTTCCTTGGAAATCCTCATTCTGGGCCTGGAGAAGCCCTGATTTCTGCCTTGCCACCCACCCCCACTCTGACACATCCCCTCCCTGACCCCCCTCCAGGTACCTGACAGAGTTTGTGGACTTGGGCAACATCTCAGCCCTGAGGACATTTCGCGTGCTGCGGGCCCTGAAAACCATCACGGTCATCCCAGGTATCGGGGAGGCACACGGACCCTCCCACCATGTCCAGGCCTGAAACTTGACAATCAAGTTCCGGGAGCCTGGCCCAGGGTCACGACACTCCCAGGCTTTTGTTTGTGTAGGAGCCTCACCACAGCCTGGACACAGAAGAAAGGGCCCTAGGAGGGAGAAAGGGCATGTGGGAGGCAGTGCAGCAAGGTGGTAAAGAGCAGACCCTGGAGCCAGACAGCCCGGGTTCATTTCTCACCTCTGCCACTGCTCAGCTTTGATCTGGGCAAGTGGCTTAACCTGCCTGTGCCTCAGTTTCCTGTACAATATGGATAATAAAAGTACCACTCATTGGGTTGAGTTGTTATGAGGATTCAATGCCTTAATATCTGTAAGGTACTTACAGTCCCGGGCCCACGGTGTGTGATATGTAAGTGTGAACTAAATCGCATAAGCGGACTGAGCAAAGCAGAGACCCCCGCCTGAGACACACACACACAAAGGGACTCAGTGAGGGGAAGCCCAGCCCTGAGAGCTCAGGGACACACCACGCCCCACTGAGCAACAAAGCCAGGGTAATTCCAAAGTGGTGCATCAAGAAGCATGAAATAAATAGAATCCAGATCATCAGACCCTCAAAAAAGCACATGGAGAAACTGGAGATGGTTCATTAAAAGAGAGAAAGGGCCGGCCCCATGGCTCACTCGGGAGAGTGCGGCGCTGGGAGCACCGAGGCGGCGGGTTTGGATCCTATATAGGGATGGCCCGTGCGCTCACTGGCTGAGCATGGTGCGGGCCACACTGTGCCGAGGGTTGCGATCCCCTTACCGGTCAAAAAAAAAAAAAAAAAGAGAGAGAGAGAGAAAGATGATCTGAAAAGAGACAGAGAGCAGGCTCTGGGAGGAGGGGACATTGTTAAATCCTAATGCTAGAAAGGACCTTAGTTCTCTTCCAGTCCAAGGAAGGTGGGAGGGGAAGTGCTTACCAAAGGCTTCACTGGGCATCGGCCGCTGAGCCAAGGCGACAACGTCCTTTCTCTGTGCCAGGCTTCCAGCATCCTCAGGGTTCAGGAGGCTGCTGGGCATTCATTTCCTATATCAGGACAAGAAAAGGAGATGAACTAATATTGAAGCAAGAGGCACTATGATTACGCCTGTAAAATAAGTTATGGCTCTTCCATCGATGATGGAATCCATCCCTGGAACTCCACCGGAATTATTTATGCCTTGGTCTGTCTGAAGGAGCAGAATGTGATGATGTTTTCGAGTTAGTTGAGAGCTTCTCAGAGTGAACCCTGCTGGTTCTTGGGTGTTAATCAGCATCATAAGAAAAAGGGTTCTATGGTCAAATAAGTTAAGGAAATGTGGTATTAAAGTTTTTGTTTATTTCTGCAGGCCTTTTCAGAGCCTTTGTTAGGATAATCTACACAATGACTCTCTAGGAGCAGATAGAATGCAGCTTTTCCGAAAATTTACCAATTCCCAACCCCAACCCCACTCCCTTTTTAAGGTCACAGCTTGGAAGATTAGTGTTCCACAGAACCTCGTGACATTTATTAGGCTCCACTGTATCCCTTTTTGTTGCTCTATAGGTTGGGCAACAGCCCATCAAGTCTTATAGTCTATTCTAGTAGCTGAGATTCTGGGCAATTCGAAGACCCCAGGTTGAGGATGTGATCAGAGAAGGGTGGGGTTCATTTCAGAAGTCTTCAGGGAAGTAGTGATGCCTAGTAAGTCAAGCCTTGGAGATGGAGTAGGCGAAGGCTTGGTGGTGGGGGTCAGAGGGTCCATTATTACCCTGTCCTGCCCTCTGACAATACTCTTACCTGCTCTGTGGTCAGGGCTGAAGACGATCGTAGGGGCCCTGATCCAGTCCGTGAAAAAGCTGTCGGATGTGATGATCCTCACCGTCTTCTGCCTGAGCGTCTTTGCCCTGGTGGGCCTGCAGCTCTTCATGGGAAACTTGCGGCAGAAGTGTGTGCGCTGGCCCCCACCCTTCAATGACACCAACACCACGTGGTACATCAATGACACGTGGTACGGCAACGACACGTGGAACAGCCATGAGCACTGGGCCAGCAACTACACCTTTGATTGGGATGCCTACATCAGTGACGAAGGTGAGCATGGAGGAGGGGCAGGCAAGGGAACCCGTCCCAGCCCCTAGAGCAGTCCCTGCCTCAGCTCCTTGTGAGAACAATAGCTGGCGAGGACCTGCGCTTAAATCCATCACTTACCAGCTTGTGCAACCTCTGACAAGTCACTGGATCTCTCTGGCCCTCAGAATCCTCACCTATAAAATTGAAATAACAATATCTTCCTCAAAGGGTTAGTGTGACAACAAGGACCAAATTGCTTTAAAAATCTTGATGCTGGGCCGGCCCAGTGGCTCACTCGGGAGAGTGCGGTGCTGATGGCACCAAGGCCCTGGGTTCGGATCCCATATAGGGATGGCCGGTTCGCTCACTGGCTGGGCGTGGTGCTGACAACACCAAATCAAGGGTTAAGATCCCCTTACCTTGATGCTGGGCCGGCCCAGTGGCTCACTCGGGAGAGTGCGGTGCTGATGGCACCAAGGCCCTGGGTTCGGATCCCATATAGGGATGGCCGGTTCGCTCACTGGCTGGGCGTGGTGCTGACAACACCAAGTCAAGGGTTAAGATCCCCTTACTGGTCATCTTTAAAAAAAAAAAAAAAAAAATCTTGATGCTGTCACTATACAAAGTAAAGGTCTACAGTCCCCCTTCCTCAGCCTGTTTACTCCCTGTTCTCCTTCGTCACAATCTGCTCACACCCTGGCAGGCCACCACCAGGCACCCACACACCCATGGCCTATTTTTTTTCCTTCCGGTTCATCCTCAATCTGTCCACATCCTGTTCACGTACCCTCCAGGCACACACAAAGGCACACACACATTCTCACGGCCACTACTAGTCCACACAGCATCTTCTTGCACACTAGGGAAAGGTACCCCTTTTTCACCCTGGCACCTGGACTCCAGCCCCCGCTCACCCCTCAGTCAGGGTCCTGTGCAGGTACATGGCAGCTCCATGCACACACGTACATATCCCATGGCTCTCTCTGTGCCCCTGCTCTCTCTGTGACCCTGCTTGGGGCTGGACTCCCTGCAATGCACCTACGCAGAGACCCTGGAACTTGGGGCTGTCCTTAAAGGAGGGGGGGTGCCCAGAGAGCATCCATTTGGCATATGTGGTGCACACAGACCTGTCCACAGGTGTGCAATGGGTGTGTGTGCTCACAGTGTGTCCATGTGGGTGACATGCCTCCTATGTGGCTTCTGACTCCCAAAGGGAACTTCTATTTCCTGGAGGGCTCCAATGATGCCCTGCTCTGTGGGAACAGCAGTGATGCTGGGTGAGTGACGCTGGGAGTTAGGGAAAAGGTGCCCCAGGGGTCTTGGAAGGTGGGGGCTGATTAGGGACAAGGACCTGGGATGGATGGGAAGTGAAGAAAACCTATGGGCATGGATAGAATACTTTCCTGTTTGGGGGACAAAGGCAGGACTGAGGGATTTTTTCCCCTGGGGTCCCCCACCTGTCCGCGGCTGGAACTATTCTCCCTCCCTAAACCCAGTCCCCCATCCTATCCCCAGGCACTGCCCCGAGGGTTATGAGTGCATCAAGACCGGGCGGAACCCCAACTACGGCTACACCAGCTACGACACCTTCAGCTGGGCCTTCCTGGCTCTCTTCCGTCTCATGACGCAGGACTACTGGGAGAACCTCTTCCAGCTGGTACAGCTGCCCCCACCTGCCCCTCAACCCTACCGCCACTCCCCCTCTGTCTCTGCAGCCTCTTCAGGGCCTGATGGTGCCTATCCCAGGAGGAACAAGCCCCCTCAGGGCCACCTCATCCATGGGACCTCCCTCAGTGCCTTTACAGGTTCTCAGAGCCCTGTGACACTGGGCACCTGCCCAGAGCCCAGCCTCAGTTTTTCTTCTTTCCCCACTTTTGCTCTAAAAGCCGAGGTCTGGGCCTGGCACAGGAACCCCAGGCCTCACAGGAGCCAGGAGGGCAGCTCACAGTTCCGCTCTGCCCATACACAGTATTTCATTTCTACTGTCGGCCGGGCAGGCAAGTTGAGTCTGGAACGATAGGCCCGCTGATCCCTGGTGATGCTTCTAACATTGATGATGCTGATGACAATAATAATAACAACAGTAATAACAATAGCTTCTATTTGTTGAGCTCAGCCTGGGTGCCAAGCACTATAGCAAAACAAGGATTCACGCTGGTCCCCAAGCCCACATTCACCATTTTTCCATCCTGGCTCTCTGACCTCAGGATGCCTGGGTGAGGTCTTCAGGGCTCTCTGAGCTGGAAGACCAGAAATGTCTGGGTTCCAAGTATATATTTTAAAGTTCCACAGATTGTAGCTTAGCGCCCATATGGATGGCCATACCCTCCTTCACAGGACCTTCCCTACTTACCCGACCGGGCAATGGGCTAAAAGAGGTAGGTACCATGGGACCCCCTGTCTCTTTCTCCCTCCAACTCCCAGACCCTTCGAGCAGCTGGCAAGACCTACATGATCTTCTTCGTGGTCATCATTTTCCTGGGCTCCTTCTACCTCATCAATCTGATCCTGGCGGTAGTGGCCATGGCATACGCTGAGCAGAACGAGGCCACCCTGGCAGAGGATCAGGAGAAAGAGGAGGAGTTCCAGCAGATGCTCGAGAAGTTCAAAAAGCATCAGGAGGAGCTGGAGAAGGTCTGGACTTAGGGAGAGGAGGCTGAGCAGCCAGGGATCTTTCTGCCCCCAGCCTGGGCTGCTTGGCTACCGGCTTCTCCCGGGCAGGCTGAGGTTGAGGGAGGGGCTTGGGGGAAGGGGTTTCGAGGCAGGGGGAGCAGAAGGCCCCAGGCTGGGGGCTTGGGTGGAATGAGTGGCATCCAGACAATAGAAAGAGTATTTCTCGGGGCCGGCCCGGTGGCGCACTGCTACAGTGCGCCACTTGGGAGCGCGGTGGCGCTCCCGCCGAGGGTTCGGATCCCACATACAGACCAGCCGCTCACTGGCTGAGCGAGGTGTGGGCGCAACACCGAGGGTTGCGATCACGTTGCCAGTCCCGGTCTGGTACGGGCGCGACACTGAGGGTTGCGATCCGTTGCCAGTCATGAAAAAAGACAAAAAGGAAAAAAAAAAAAAAAAGAAAGAGTATTTCTCTGCTCTGTGCCTCAGTTTCCCCGTCTGTAACAACGAATCTGGAGTAGTTAAACCTAAGTGTCTTTCCAGCTCAAATATTTATGGTTCGTGATTCTTTCTGGGCAGTATGTGGGTCCATGCTGAGGTACAGGCAGGTCCTGACCAGGCCCCAGCTGCCGTTTTCTCATTATCTCACCAAGTGTAGGGTGAGTCAGGGCATCAGATAGTTGAGGGTCTTCAGGGCTGAGGGTATTCAGTCACTTTGGCCCCTTCTCTGCCACCCCCACCACCACTGAGGGTGGCTTCTTCCCCACCTGCACTGGGTCTGGCACAGGCCAAGAAGAGGGACTGCCATCCTAAAGGACTCAGGAAGCAGTTCTGAGAACCAATTAGTCCATCCCCCGGCTCAGAGCTGGATTTCATGTCGATCACCCTTGTGGTCCATAGGCCAAGGCCGCCCAGGCTCTGGAAGGTGGGGAGGCAGACGGGGACCCAGCCCATGGCAAAGACTGTAATGGCAGCCTGGATACATCGCCGGGGGAGAAGGGGCCCCCGAGACAGAGCTGCAGCGCAGACAGTGCCATCTCAGACGCCATGGAAGGTGAGTGCCCTGCACCCCAGACCCACCCTGCTCTGCCTGTCCTGGCTATCAGACCACTCGGGCTCCTCAGGGGCACTGTGGGGCCTGGCTGGACTCGGCTTCAGGAGGACAGTAACTTAATATTGGCATAGAAAAAATGTTTGTGATAAATATAGTCCTCTCTTAACCTGGCCCAGTTCTGGCTGCAAGGCCAGGCCACAGCGGGACCTGGGGGCTTCCGGGAGGGCCTTTGGGACTGCCAAGGCAATGGTGAAGGACAGGCTAATAATACTAAAGAGGAAGGCCCAATGTTCCAGAAACTGGAGATCTTGTTCCTCATGTGTTCTCTAGGTGAAAGTTAAAGGTCAAAGGTCAATCCCTGCCCAAGTAGAGTTCCATACTCTCCCCAATCCCTGTGCCACCCCCAAGTCTCAGGAGGAGAATAAGGACGCAGTAACGAGGGAAGGATGGATAGACACACACACGGATGGATGGATGGATGGATGATGGATGGATGGATGGAGGATGGAGGGGCTGAAAGATTACTGAATGGAAAGAGACAGATAGAAGGGTGTGTGAATGCATGAGGAGGGGGAGAGAGGGAGGGAGGAAAGAAGGAAGGAAGGGAAGAAGGGAACACAGGAAAGAGGGAGGAAGAGAGGAGACAAGGGAGGGAGGGAGGCAGGATAGAAGAAAGGAACTCTGACACAGAGAGATCTGGTCCCCTCCCAGGCCAGCTTGACTTGTGCCAAGGAGTTGGGGGTCCTATAGGATCTTGCAAACCTCTAGAGGGCACCATGTCACCTGACCTTGTATGACAGACATCCACGTGTCTGTCTGCCCTGCCAGGGACTGCTCCAGGAAATGCTGGGCAAGGCTGGCCCAAGAGGCCATTCAGCCCTGCCATTGCCGGGACCATCGCAAGAAGTTTCAGGCCTCAGACACTGTTTGGGGCACCTGCAGTAGCACAGGGTGGGGGTGGATGTGGGGGAAGGGTCACTGTCAAAGCAGAATCGGCTGCAGCCCTGGAGAGAGGTTCAGTTTGTTAATTGCTGGGTAGGGTCAGGGGTCAGCCACTGGCACCCCTGGGGTGAACCCACCAAGGTCTCCATGGGGCTGCCACCATGCCAGTCTCTTTTCTTCATCTATGAAATGGGAGACACTGATAGTATTTACCTCATACACTTGTGGTGATAAGTAAATGCCACCATGCCTAGGTCAGGGACACTCCCATGGGCCACAGAAGCCGGGTGCAGCAGCAGCTTCATCCCATGGTCTTTGTAGAGCCCCCATGGCTTTAGGGGTGGCAAGAACAGGGGGTGTTTCCAGAAAGCCACTCTGCTGGGAAGGGGAGACAGCTTGGAGGAGCCGACATTACAGCAGTGGAGAGGAAGGTCCGAGGGGGATCTCAGGCCAGCAGCAGTGGGACCGGGACCCAAACCCCTGCAGTAGCCTCCCGCCTCTCCGTGGGGACTCTGGGACCCAGCCAGAGATCAGGGCGTCTTCCCTTCCAGGATCACAGCCCTGGCCGCTGGCAGGAGGTGGGAGCCCAGCCCGGCTCACTGAGCGGCTGGGCTTTGTGGGGTGAGCCGAGAAGGCGGGGCTTGAAGTAGAGCATTGAGAGGCGGGGCTTAGGGTAGGGGTCGCTGAGGAGGTGGGCCTTCGAGGGTCATGGCATTGAGGGGCGGGGCTTCGAGGGGCGGGGCATTGAGGGTGGGGCATGTGAGCGGCAGACCTGGAGAGTGACGCGTGGAGACGCGGGGCTTGGAGAGGACCTCGAGGGGGCGGGGCTTGTGTGGGCGGGATTTAGAGGGCAGACTGCAGTGAGGGGGGCGCCTGGGGGAACGTGGCAGAGTTGCTAAGGGTTGGGGGCTTGCGATGTGGAGCACTAAGGGGCGGGGTTTGGAAGGTGGGACCAAAGGTGTAGGAGGAGGAAGGGGCACGTGAGGGGGAGAATCCTCTTCAGGTACATGTTACAACCCCACTCCCAGAGCTGGAAGAGGCCCACCAGAAGTGCCCGCCATGGTGGTACAAGTGCGCCCACAAAGTGCTCATATGGAACTGCTGCGCCCCCTGGCTGAAGTTCAAGCACATCATCCACTTGATCGTCATGGACCCCTTCGTGGACCTGGGCATCACCATTTGCATCGTGCTCAACACCCTCTTCATGGCCATGGAACATTACCCCATGACCGAGCACTTTGACAATGTGCTCACCGTGGGCAATCTGGTAGGGAACGGACGAGGGAGAGGGTGGCCAGTGGCCATGCCGGGGTAGGATGGGAGAAGGGCGGCAGGGCCCAATGGGGCCGTCTGGGCTGTGTGGAAATATGGGACACTACTGGGGGACACATGGGGACAGCTGGTGTTATTTTCCTAGCATATGGGGGGCATGAGTTGATGTACAAAGGAGGTACATGGGGTGATTAACAGGATGTGGAATTGGGGTTTTAAGACATTTGGGGGCAAGGAGAGTGGAGTGAGGTGCTGGGTGTCTTTAAGATCAGGACTCCTGGGGTATCTGGAGTCCAGGCCATGCCCTGGAGGCGGGAGTGGGGGAGAGGGGATGTAGAGGTGGGGGTGGGGGTGGGACTGGGTGACAAGTCTCTCCACTTTCAGAGATTGTCATGGGCCTCAAAGGAACCAAGGGACTTGGCAGTGAAGGCACATAGCTCTAGGCACCCAGGCCCAAGGGGTCCCCGCTCACCATGGGAGCCCAGAGAATAGTCCCCACCCCTTGCCCATTGCCCCAGCCTAGCCAGGACAGTTCCCCTCTCTAGCTCTTCCCTGCTCCACTATTGTTGACACACACTGATCCGCCTGCTTATCCCTGCCCATTAGGAGCATTATCACCTCGTTGCCAGCCCCAGTAGAGCCTGACAAAGGGAAAAAGCTGCCTCCTCCTCCAGCCCTGCCCCACCCGTCCCAATTTCCTTCACCGTTTTTCCTGGATGGCAAATGGGCAAGATGCTCCCCCACCCTGAGGGTGAGGGGAACCCAGGGAGAGTAAGATTTGAGGCTAGGGCACGACCACGAGTGGGTGGGTAGCACAGAAATCAGATCCCGGACTCCCCAGCCTTTGAGGCAGGCACGTCTACCCAATAGAGGTGTCGGAGGCAGCCTAGCCAGGGTGGGCTGGAGGGGCAAGAGCATGCTCTGGGCTGGCGGCACAGCTGCTGGGGTGTGCGTGATGGGCCAGGCACGCCTGCCTACCCACCCTCTGCCCACACTATGCTGCTGTCTGGGCACCTGCTATGGCCAGAGACAGCTCCTGGGAGGGGCTCAGCATGTGCCTAGGCGGGCTGTTGACCCAGGGCAGCTGGTGCCCAACAGGAGGGGGGCTGTGCCCAGAGAGCTTTGGGGGACTAACCCTCAGACACCTGTGTCTGGGGTTGGGGATAGGGGCATCTCTGACCTTATTGATTTTGCCCCTTTTGGCCCCTGCCCTAGACCTTTGAGTCTACCAAGATTTGCTGGGTCCTGGGACTGGACCTGGCAGAGAGGCCTTAGGGCACAGAGGCAGAAGATGGAACTGAGCTCCCTAAGAACTGACTTGAGACCTGACTCGTCCGCATAGGGGTGGCGTGACTGAGCGAGCTGCTAACCTCGCTGAGCCTCAATTTCTCATCTATGGAACAAGCGTGATAATCCTCCCAGCTTCATAGAGATTGGGATACCAGTGAGGTCACGATGCACACCACAGAGAGCTCCATGAATGCTGAATATTATGATTGGGTTGAGGCCCCAAGAGATTAAGTGACTTGCCCATGGTCACAAAGCCCTTTGCCTTGGCCACTGCACCTGTCACTCACTCACATACACACACATGGGCCATGGGTACCACTCCCTGTCCCTCTCAGGACTCTGGACTCCTTCCCCTCGGTGCCTGCAGCCTCTGCCAGGAGGTGGGAGTGGGTTGGGAAACTCTTGAGTGACAGGTACCCCACCCGCCCTGCAGGTCTTCACGGGCATCTTCACGGCAGAGATGGTACTGAAGATCATCGCCATGGACCCCTACGAGTATTTCCAGCAGGGCTGGAACATCTTCGACAGTATCATCGTCACCCTCAGCCTGGTGGAGCTGGGCCTGGCCAACGTGCAGGGGCTGTCTGTGCTCCGCTCCTTCCGTCTGGTACACGAGAGCCCCAAGAACAGGGACTGAGAGGGGGGTGGGTGGGCTGAGATATAAGGAGGTTAGACATGGGGTGGGAAGAGAAACCCCAGGAAGCCAGAGGGCTGGAAGTGAAGCGCTTCCGCCCTGTGCGTGCGCTTGACCTCTCAGAACCCTTCCTACCTGTAACACGGGGAGAAAGGGAGCCTCCTCCTCATTACACAGGGCTGCTGAGGGACCACACTCACAGCCCCAGGAGCTGGCATTGGGTTTGATTCCTTAATGACCTGCAGGCCTGAAAACTGAGGCTCTGGAAGCTCATTAAGAGTGGGATTGGGATTTCTGCATCAGTGTCTCTCCACCACTCCCTAAGAAGCACTTTTATTATCTTAACTTTATTATAAGACCTTTCATGCATACACAAAAAGTACAGTCAGCACTCCATATCCACGGGTTCTGCATCCACAGATTCAATCAACCATGGACTGAAAGTATTTGGGAAAAAATAAATAAATAATACAAACTAAAAACCTATACAAGGGTACTTCCAAAAGTTCGTGGAAAAATAGAAGTAAAAGATAATACAAATCGTTCCATGAGCTTTTTGAAGGTCCCTCATACAATATAAGAACTATCTACATAGGATTTACACTGTATTAGGTATTATAAGTAACCTAGAGATGATTTGAAGCGTACGGGAGATATGCATAGGTTATATGCAAATATTAAGCCATTTTATACCAGGGATTTGGGTATCCGTGGATTTTGCTATCCCCAGGGGGTCCTGGAACCAATGCCTCTGAGGATTCCAGGAACGCCCCTATAGAGAAAGTATCATTAGACTCCATGTACCTATCGCCCAGCTCCAACAAGCCTCCGTGTTCTACAATTCTTGTTTCCTCGGTTGGAGTGGTGGGGAGAGGGAGTATGTTGAAGCCAATCCCGACGTATAATTTTACTTGTAAATACTTTAGTCTGTATCTTTAACAGATAAGGATTTTTATTTTTCTTTTTAACACATGAAAAGCAAGAGGTGGTAGGATGAGGCTCTCCCCATTTAGCAGAGAGGCACACTGAGGCCTGGCATCACTCAGAGGGGTGTGGCCTCAAGCCATTCAAGATAGTTCATTCTCCTACAGTTGGGCCTCCCTGGGGTTCGGCCGGCCGTCCCCCGGCCTCGGTGACCCTCGCCCTCCCCCTGCCCGACAGCTGCGGGTCTTCAAGCTGGCCAAGTCGTGGCCCACGCTGAACATGCTCATCAAGATCATCGGGAACTCGGTGGGGGCGCTGGGCAACCTGACGCTGGTGCTGGCCATCATTGTGTTCATCTTCGCCGTGGTGGGCATGCAGCTGTTCGGCAAGAGCTACAAGGAGTGCGTGTGCAAGATCTCCGCGGACTGCAGCCTGCCGCGCTGGCACATGTACGACTTCTTCCACTCCTTCCTCATCGTCTTCCGCATCCTGTGCGGGGAGTGGATCGAGACCATGTGGGATTGCATGGAAGTGGCCGGCCAGCCCTTGTGCCTCACTGTCTTCCTCATGGTCATGGTCATTGGCAACCTTGTGGTGAGTCAGGCCGGCTGGGTGGCTTCGTGGCCTCGCCTGGGAAGTGTACAGGGCATGTCTCATTCCCTTCTGTCCTCAACGTTGGGCTGTCGTCTAGGGCTTTTTCCTAGTAGGTGAACTGTATGAAATTGCCGATACTTGACAGAATTTCTAGCTCCCCTGTCACCCCAGAAATGGCAATTACATATGGTTTAACTCAGTGGTTCTCCAATGTTAACCACTGCTTAAAAATCACCTGGGGTTTTCTTAAAACATAGATCCCTGGTCCCACCCCCTAGAGGGTCTGATTCAGTAGTTCTGGGCCGGGGCCCAGGAATCTGCATTTCTGACAAGCTCCAAGGTAACGCTGATGCCGCTGGTCCAGGGACAACTCTGGGAGTGGCACTGTTTCAACCTCATATTTTGGGGAAAGTGCTGTGATAATGAGTCAGAGAGACCCATGTTCCAATCCCAACTCCTTCGCCATCATCTGTGTGCCTCGAACACATTACTGCTCTCTAGTTCTCTAGCGTCGCATAGAAGAAAAATGACAGGGACCTAATGGGGTTGCTGGGAAGACTGACTGAGTGTGCAGAAAGGCATGGCGTGAGGTGGGACAGGACCCCGGGCCTCTTGGATTTCTCCCACCCTCTTAACTGCCTCTGTTCCAAGCCTGGGGCCAGGCTATGAAAAAAGAATCAGGCCCAGGAGTTGGGAGAATCCAAGGATGACATGGCAGCATCGTTCTGCCACTTTCAGTGGCTCAGGGCTTGGCATGTGGGGCTGGTGCAGGGAGGTGAAGGGCAGGGGCAGGGGGTTGTGTCCAGCTGGCCAGCGTTGCTGCGGCCAGGGCCTGTGGAGGCATCTCTCCTCACCCTGACAGCCCCAATTCCCCCTCTTCTTGGGGTGAGGGTGGGGGGTCACTCCTGCCAGGGCCCCGCAGTGCTGTGCCCAGCTGCCCTCTGCAGTGGCCAGCGCTGCCCTGGGCAACTGGGGGTGTAAAGACACACTTCCTCATGTTCAGCAAAGGCCTGTGGAATCCTTGAGCTGCTGGGTCAGCAGTTCTCAGATATCGCTGAGCCCTGGCTGGGGGCAGGGATGGATGGGGGGCAGGGGATCATGGGACAGCTAGAGAGGAGAACCCAGGCTGCCCTCCCTGCGAAGAGGGTCTTAGAGAGTGGAGAGAGAGAGCGAATGTGTCCAAGCTAAACTCTGGGGCAGGACTGGGGTCAGGGGTAGCAGGCTGTGAGTCAAACTTTGTAAATGTTAAGTTTAGGGGCCTGGGGGCAACTAAAAGAGTCTGCAGGGGGTTTCTGTCTCTGTGTGTGCAAACTCAAAAACGTTTCAAGCCCCCACTCTGCCACTTACTGACTGGGAAAGCTTGAGCAAGTTATTTAACCTCTTTGGGCCTTAGTTTTCTCATCTAGAAAATGGGGATGACAATGGGGCAACCTACTTCACTAGGTGGTCATGAGGATTACGTGACATGCGTTCAAGTGTTTCACAAAGCACTAGGCGCACGAGGCCAGGGGAGCTCAGTGTGACAGTGTGCAGGGGGCAGGGGTGGCTTAGGTCCCAGCCTTCAGCTCTTGGCTTGTTATCAGTCTCCTGCTGTGTGTGGTCCCCATGCAGGGTCTTTACGTACGTTATCCCCAGTCCTCTCGACAGCCCTGTGACACAGGTAATGTCATCGCCACACTCTCGAGGAGGCACTGCCCCAAACCACACAACTGGTGAGAAACTGAGCTGGGACTAGATTCTGGGTCTATGTGAGTGACTCCAGTAACAGTAACATCAATAATGGGAGTCATTGTAGTGATGATAACGTCAACACCATCAATGACAGTGATGACAGCTGACATTTGTTTAGCCTTTACCCAGCATTCTGAGCGCTTTACATGTATTCATTCACTTAATCATCACATCTACTCTCTCAGGGCTGTGCTATTTTTCTCTGTTTCATAGATGAGGAAGCAAAGTCTCAGGGAGGCAAATTGGTAACATGGAGAATTGGGCCTCAGCATTTGTGGCTCCGTAGTCTACAACCACTGCACTTCACTGCACTGCCTCTGAGTGTGACACACACACACACACACACACACACACACACACACACACACACACACACACACCACTGACCACTGACAGCCTTTTCTGGCCCAGCCCTATGGCTCTTGCAATTTGCCCAGAGGGAGTGGAGCAGCCCAGGGAGGTGGCACTATCAGCTCCTTGGGCACTGTCCTCTTCCACACACCCTCTCCCAGGCCTCAGAGAAGCAGGTGTCTGCCAGAGGGCACCAGGGCACCCTGCCAGGGAGTGTGGGGACTGGTGCCCCCTGCATTCACGGCACTTGGTCACTTTCTCTGGGTTACTGTGAAGAAGAAGAGGGAGTGACTAGGTCATAGGTAACCTACCCCACAGAGCCCCCAGGGGAACATGATGTCTGTCCCCCTCCTCTCCACCAACACCACCACCCCCGCCTTGCTTGAGGCAGCTATTTCTGTCCCAAGCAGGAGCCGTGTGCAAACCCTGCTGACCCAGAGAGCAGCTAATTCCCATCTCAGATGTGTTTCTGGCAACTGGATGCCTCCCCCTGAGAGAGGGAGAGGAAAGACTAATAAATTCTGGTGGGGGGCAAAGGCAGAAAAGTAGCCAGGGGACATGCGGGGGGAGGGTGGAAATGCCCCCACACATTCTCTCAAAGAGAGTTTTAATACATTTTTTAAAGATATTATGTTAACATGATAGTTGAGACACTGGAGGAAAGACCTTGAACACACTAGTGAGAGCCAGACAATGAGAAGACGGTCAAAGAGGGCAGATTTGCACGTACAGACTCCCCTACCCCTCTTGTCCATTAACGCAACTAGCCCCACCCCAGTCCCCCGAGAGCATGAGCCTGGCCGTGCCTCTGGCTGACAGGAGCCAGGACCCCCACCCCAGCCAGGCTTCACCTTTCCACTGCCCAGGGATGGGTGGACTGGTGGACAGGAGGGCCGCTCATATTGTGTGAATGGTGCCCTCTAAAGTTGTGTTATGACTGGAAGCCTGGGTTCTAGTCCTGGCTGGGCGTAATGTCCTAGGGAAGTCAGCCTACCTCTGCAAAATGCTGAGATGGCCTCTGAATTAATCATGCTCTCCCCCGTACCTTGTACAATTTCCTGTTACTGCACACATAATAACAGCCAACATGTTTTAACATGCCTACTGTGTGCTCCACTTCGTACTGATCTTTCCATCTTCACAACAATGTGAGGAGTACTGGAATCATCCCCATTTTGTGGATGAGGAAACTGAGGCACAGAGCAGTGACACACCTCGACTCAGGACACACAGCTAGTAAACTGGGGCTCAGGGCCAGACAGCACAGTTTCAAAGCCAGTGCACCCCAGACTCTACTGCCACCCAGACCCATATTATTGCATTTGTCTGATCGGCTTTGTGTGTCTGCTGGGCTGTGAGCTCTGGGGTTGCTTGCTCCAGCACACAGTGGCAGGGGCTCGGTAAATGTCTGCTCACTGGAAAATAAAGTGTGTGTGTGTGTGTGTGTGTGTGTGTGTGTGTGTGTGTGTGTGTGGTGGGGGAGACCAGTAACTTCTTAAGTCCCTTTCAGTGGGGCTGTGAGTAGAAAACCAGAAGTAGAAAAGGGGTGAGTAGCACTGGGTCAGGCATCTGAGCACCAGGGAGCACAGGGTCTATTAAAAGTCCCACTTAACAGAGAAGGAAAAGAAGGCTGGCGAGGCTAAGGTTCCCAGTAAGTCCTGGCAGCTTGAAGACTTGGGCCCTGTGCTTTATTCTGCGTCTTCCTGGCAGTGGAGGTAGAGAACAGAGTCATGGAAAAGCCCCTGTCACCCAGTGGGACTTTCCAAAACTTGTCTCTGCCTTGGGCAGCAGAGTCCTATCATATGCCCAAGCCTCAGTTTCCACATCTGCAAACGGGGTTGGGGCAGGGGGATATTACCCTCACCTCCATGAGCAGATATAAGTGCCCTGTTAGGTGACATTCTCTGAAATGCCCAACGTGTGGTAGGTCTGACATGCAGATTGGAGGACCTTGGTGCTGGCTATAGGTGGCACCCTCAGGGGCCCCGAGCTGAATGGAGCCCCTGCCACCCCCCACCCTCCAGGTCCTCAACCTGTTCCTGGCTCTGCTTCTGAGCTCCTTCAGTGCTGACAGCCTGGCGGCCTCAGACGAGGATGGCGAGATGAACAACCTACAGATCGCCATCGGACGCATCAAGTGGGGCATCGGCTTTGCCAAGGCCTTCCTCCTGGGGCTGCTGCATGGCAAGATCCTGAGCCCCAAGGAAATAATGCTCAGCCTCGGGGAGCCTGGGGGTGCCAAGGAGACTGAAGAGGCCGGGGAGAGTGCCCCCGAGGACGAGAAGAAGGAGCCACCACCCGACGAGGGTGACCAGGAACTGAAAAAGGACAATCACATCCTGAACCACGTAGGCCTGGCTGATGGCCCTCCCTCCAGCATCGAGCTGGACCACCTCGACTTCATCAACAACCCGTACCTGACCATCCAGGTGCCCATCGCCTCCGAGGAGTCCGATCTGGAGATGCCCACGGAGGAGGAGACCGACACCTTCTCAGAGCCTGAGGACAGCAAGGTGAGCCCAACCAGGACCAGCTAGAGGAGCCGGGGGCCAGGTAGGCTTAGCTTGCAATTTCTGTGCGACCTTGAGCAAGTCACACATACTCTCCAAGCCTCAGTTTCTCCGAGCTTCAGTTTCTCCATCTGTAAAAGAAGGGTAATATTCCTCCCCAGTGGCATTGTCCTGAGCATTACATGAGACGCTTTGTGTAAAACACATAGTAAGCTCCCTGCAGATGGTGACTGTTGTTATAGTTATTAGCACGTTATCATCATCTGCCCGGCCTGTCCTAATAGTCTGGTCTCCTCCCTTCACAAACTGTCCCAAAACTCCAGCTGGGCCCCTCTCACCAGCAGGTGGCGCTCTTGGACAGGATGCTCTTCCCTGTGGCACCTCAGCTCCAGGACTGGGACCCAGGAGACCTCTCTTAAATCCCCCTGTGGGCTCGAAGTCCCTGTCAAGTCCTTGCAATTATCATCTATTTCTGCTTAGACTCCACCTGGCGCTGGTCACAACCTCCCCGGGACTCTGAGGAGAGGAGCCAGGGGGCCAGTAGGGGTTGGGGACAAAGAGCAGGGAACTGCAGTGCAGCCTCAAGGCAGGAGCCCTGACCTACTCAGCCATTTATGGGGCCTCCTGCTGCCTCTTCCCCACGAGGGTGAGGAGGGGACTGGAACGCAGGGAGTGGTCACCCCCAAAAGCTGGGGCTGAGGCTGGGATCCTGCCTGGGCTTCCCAGGGGAGCTGACTCTGAGTCCCCCTCACCACACACACCCTCAGCCCTGCGCCTGGCTGGGCACCAGAGCCTAGTGAACCTTGCCCTGAAAGCTCTTGACTCCTTATTGCCCCCAAATATGTGGCACGCTGACTTACCAGGGGGCCGAGTGCCTGCGAGCTATAAATACCCGGGGAAATGTGGCACTGACCTCGACCTCGGTAAGAAGAGCACAGGCAGGGGAGGGGCTAGAGAACACCTGGGTCCCAAGCTGTGGGAGGGGAGAGGGCCTGGGGACTCTTTAAAGGGAGCCAAGCATGGCTCCAAGGGGATTGTGGGACTCGGGGCACACAAGTTGGGCAAGCGGCTCCGTGGATGCTCTGGGTGACCTAACACTCTGTGCCTCGCTTTCTCTTCCTGTCAACTGGGAACAAGGACCCCCCTGGTTTTCTGGTCAGCATTCTGGATGCAGAGCTGCCCTCCCCCCATCCCCACCTCCACCAAGCTGCTCTCTGTCTTCCTCTTCAGGGGCCTCACCCCCTACCACGAATGGGTCCCCTTGCAAAGTGGAAACTGGGGCCAGGAGGCTGGCTTGGGACAGTACCAGGAGGAGGTGGGAGAAGGCCTGGCCTGGCCGCAGCAGCAGCCTCCCCACCCTGCTCCCACTCTGATCAGGTTCCCTTGGCTCTGGACTGGAGCCTTGGCTGGGAAAAACTTTCCGTCCTTGCTGCCTTCCTCAGCCAAACAGACCCCAGGGGTGGCAAGGTTCAGACGCTGGGGGCCCCACACGCCCATTCTCTTCGGGCTGTGGCAGCCCAGCCTCCTCCTGATACCTTATTATGCCCCAGTCCCCTCAAAAGAATCCTTAGGCCGCTTACTCCTCTCCTGGTCCCTTCCTGCCTCCCCACACCTCCCAGAACCCCAGCCGGGCAGAGCCACCACTGGGCCCTCCCAGCCCAGCTGCCGACCCCACGTCCTCCCTCACCTGAGGCCCTCGCCCTCACATGTCTCCTCACACCCTCAGTGCCCCTTCCTAGGCCTCAGCCCTGCCCTGCTCCAAACATAAGTGCCATGAGGGTTCGCCTTGGTCAGTGGGATTCTTCCACACAAGGCAGTGCTGACTTGACAATCCAGGGCTGAATGAATGAATGAATGAATGCATGAGTGAATGAATGAAGGAGTCGTCTCCATCCCCCTTCCTCCTTTCCCTTCTGGTCTCCCATCCTGCCCCACCTGGCGGGAGGATGCGGGGGTCTCCGGGGACCCGAGGGTCATGTGACCCTGTGGCCCCTGCAGAAGCCGCCACAGCCCCTCTACGATGGAAACTCCTCCGTCTGCAGCACAGCCGACTACAAGCCCCCCGAGGAGGACCCCGAGGAGCAGGCCGAGGAGAACCCCGAGGGGGAGCAGCCTGAAGAGTGCTTCACCGAGGGTGAGGGCATGCCCGCCTGCATGCACGCCCCCTCGCCTGCTGCCTCTCCTGCCCAGCAGCCCAGCAGTCCCTGTGCAGGGCAGGCCATGCCAGGGCTGGAGGAGGCAGTACAGAGCTCGTGGCTTCCTCCCCTGGTGTAGGCCTGACTCCAAGCCAGTGCTCAGGAGTGCAAGCAGCTCTGCTAAGACTATGCTCCTCATCATCATCATCTTCATCTTCAGGGAGACAGCCCTAGATCAACATTGTTGTCCAAAGGGCCTGGGCTGTGCAGAGCGAAGGCTGTCTGGGCGAGGTGGGGAGGGTGGGGATGGCTGATAGCCACGGTACCTGGGCTGGCAGCCTGAGCCCCTGTTTTCGGAACGTCTTTCCTCCATGTGTCCACCTTGGCAGTAGTTGATGCATGGGTGGAGTGGGCTGTGGAGGGAGCCCGAGCCCCCTGAGTGAGCCAGATGGAGCCAGGTGTTGGGAGGAGGTAGGGGCCCTGGGTCCTGCAGGAGCTTGCTGACTGCACCCTGAGGCAGTCCCAGGCCCCTGACATGGTGCCCACCCCTTGCCCTCCCCCAGCCTGTGTGCAGCGCTGCCCCTGCCTCTACGTGGACATCTCCCAAGGCCGGGGGAGGATGTGGTGGACCCTCCGCAAGGCCTGCTTCAAGATTGTCGAGCACAACTGGTTTGAGACCTTCATTGTCTTCATGATTCTGCTCAGCAGTGGAGCCCTGGTAGGCACCGCTGGGGTGAGGGGAAGGACAGAGGCAGGTGCCAGGCCCAAAGCAGGTCCCCCCAGGGCTCCCCCTTCTCCACGCAGGGAGGGATGTGGCCTGGACAATACCAAACCCATCCTGAAGGACTCATCTGTGCTTCCAGGATGTTGTAAAATGTATGACCTTTCTTAAAGTGACAGACGGGCTCCCCTTGTTCTGTGAGCTCTGACTTGTGTGTACCCCCTGCCAATGGGGAGATGGGAGAGCCCTGGGAATTTGGGGTTAAGGCTAGGGTGGGGGAGGGCAGGACAGAAGATGTGCCACTATGAAACCCCCTAGCAGATGATTGGGATTAACCATAATTAGGCCTGGGGAAGGGGAACCGAGGAATTTCTCACACCAGGAAACTTGCTTGTCCCCAGATGGGCAGGGGCAGTCTGGCAGATGCCTACAGCCTGCCCCCTGGTCTGGCCCCCGTGGCAGACCCATGGGAACCAGCAGCATCGGGCAGGGTGGGGGACGTAGCTGTGCCCAGCCTCCCAGCCCTGGCCACCCGGTCATGTTGGTGCCCCCAGGCCTTCGAGGACATCTACATCGAGCAGCGGCGAGTGATCCGCACCATCCTGGAGTACGCCGACAAGGTCTTCACCTACGTCTTCATCCTGGAGATGCTGCTCAAGTGGGTGGCCTACGGCTTCAAGGTGTACTTCACCAACGCCTGGTGCTGGCTCGACTTCCTCATCGTGGACGTGAGTCCGCCCCACCCTGGCCCCACAGCCAGACCCAGCGGCTGTCCCCATGGCCAAGGACCTTAGGAAGGGCAGGACCTGCCCGAGGACACACCCAGAGTCAGGCTCCCAGATCAGTGCTGCCCCACAACAGTGGGCATCCAGCTTCTCTCAGACACCGGCTGCCCAGGGAGGGGGGATAAGGGACTAGGGAGACCTTCCTTTCTCCTGAGGGTAGAGGGAGCCGTGGGGGCAAGCTGATGAGCAGGAGGGTCACTTGTGATCTCTGCCAGTATGTGTGGAGGGCTTTCACATCCTCCTCGGTGGGCACACAGGCCCCGTGAGGAGGCGCATGCCATCCCTCCCATTTACCATCATCCCCAGTTACTTGATAACATCACCGAGGTGCTGGGACAGGTCCCAGGGCTGCTCTTTGCACAGACAGGACCACCCACTAGGGAGGGGTCTGAGGGAGATGACCAGGAGCTGTGAGTCCAGGAAGAGCCCCCATGGGGGCCTGTCCTCAGGGGCTGTGTCCCTGGGCTGTGGGGAGGACAGGGGCCCTGCACTCACTGACCCCCCTCCCTCCTTTACAGGTCTCCATCATCAGCCTGGTGGCCAACTGGCTGGGCTACTCAGAGCTCGGACCCATCAAATCCCTGCGGACGCTGCGGGCACTGCGTCCCCTGAGGGCACTGTCCCGATTTGAGGGCATGAGGGTGGGTGCTGAGGGGGCCTCTGAGCAGGGCTGGGGATGGGGGAGCAGCCACCCTGAGGGCAGGAGGAGACAGAAGGCTCAGACCTGGGCTGGCGGAAGGCCAGGTTGTGGTCCTGGGACACCCTCCCACCCCGGCCCCATTCCTGCCCTCAGCCCCCTCTCCAGCATGCCCTTAGTTCCTCTTTGCCACCACTGGGGGGCAGCAGAGGCTGCAGCAGCTCCCAGGAGGGCAGCATGGCAGGGAGAAGTGGGGAAGGAAGGCAGGTCTGTGGGTGTCTGGGTGTCCCTTCCCAACCTCGGCCTGGGTTGAGGGCTCTGAGACCTGAGCACCTAGGAAGGTGCTTGCACCCTGGCTCTTGAGCCTGCCAGCCCTCCCTGAGCACGGGGTCATGCTTGGGGTCATGCCCTTGAGCTAGGGGTCACTTTGAAGATCACTTCAGGCCCTTGAGAGTGGAAGTGACAGGTAAACACAGGGTTTAGGCAAGACGCCTGGGACTTCCCCAGCAAAAGGAGGTCTGCTGGGAACAAGACCCGCTCCAGAGGGACAAAGCCCTGTGAAGCGGTTGGTTACAGGCGAGCCGTGTGCTCAGCCCCAGTGGCTCGTGCAGGCCCTCGACCCCAGAGCTGGAGACCCCTCCCCACTGAGGGGAAATAACCTGCCCATCGCCACACAGCTGGTTGGCGCCCTGACCAGAAATAGAGCTCCCCTGAGCACCACCAGGCTTGTGCCACCCACTCTGTCTAGAGGCCATGAAACAGCTCCTCTCTAAAAAGGGACAATTCTCAGATTCAGCCCAGACTGAAATAGTTTGGTGGGCTTCTGTGAGCAGGGTTGGTGGGGGACAGGGCTCCAGTCTCGGAGTCCTGCTGCTTTAAAGACCCCAGTGGCCTCTTTTCTGTGCCCTTTCTGTGTCTGTGTCTCTAATGCTGAAAGCCGAGGAGCAAGGGGCTGGGTCACATGGGCTGAGTTTCCTATGGGGGCTGAGGAAAGAGTGTTTGTCTCCTGCCTGGTGAGCCGTGACCGGGACGTTTCCAGAGAAGCCCAGTGCTTCCATTCAGGGCCGATGGCACCAGCCAAGCAGAGAGCCCTCCCCAACCACTAAGCCTGCAACCCCCAACCCTACCCCTCACCACCCCCACACACAGACATACGCCAGGCTTCCCCCCCAGGCCTGGCTCAGATTGGCCCTCCTCCAGGAAGCCCTCCCTGAATACCAGTGCCCGGCTCTGCTGGTCCCTGGTTAGTGTGTAGGGGGGGACCCCCCTCTTGGAGGCCTGGGAGAGCCTCCTGCAATGACTCCCCGGCCCCCAGGTGGTGGTGAACGCCCTCCTGGGAGCCATCCCCTCCATCATGAACGTGCTGCTCGTCTGCCTCATCTTCTGGCTCATCTTCAGCATCATGGGCGTCAACTTGTTTGCTGGCAAGTTCTACCACTGCATCAACACCACCACCTCCGAGAGGTTCGACATCTCCGAGGTCAACAACAAGTCCGAGTGCGAGAGCCTCATGCACACGGGCCAGGTCCGCTGGCTCAATGTCAAGGTCAACTACGACAATGTGGGTCTGGGCTACCTCTCCCTCCTGCAGGTGGTGAGTGTGACCCGCTGCCTCTGCCCAGAGCTGGGGTGGAGGTGCTGCCCTGCTCTCTCCCGTTGTACCCGAGCCCACTTTCGCTCCTTGTTAGGGGGCCGCCCACCCTGCTTCCAATGCTGTGGGACCCTGAGGTAGTGTCTACACCTCTCTGGTCTCTTGGATGGCTCTGGCAGGTGGCCTCGGGGGAGGCTGGGGAGGGGAGCGGAACTCCTGGATAATGGAAGCAGGAGCAGCCCCCGGCCTCACTCCCCGCCCACACCCTCTCAGGCCACCTTCAAGGGCTGGATGGACATCATGTATGCAGCCGTGGACTCCCGGGAGGTGAGGCGTGGTCCCTGAGGTGGGGCTGCCGAGCTAGCCGGGGGAGAGGACTCAGACCGGAGGGAAATGTCCCCACCCTGCCATGCCACCTCCGCAGGGGTCCCCAAGACCCGGCAGCCTGGGGGTGGATGGGTCCTGCCCATAGTGCTTTGGGGAGCAGGGAGAAGCCAGCGTGAGCCCCCAGCCCTGTCCCATCCCGTCCCATGGCCCCTGCAGAAGGAGGAGCAGCCGCAGTACGAAGTGAACATCTACATGTACCTGTACTTCGTCATCTTCATCATCTTCGGCTCCTTCTTCACCCTCAACCTCTTCATCGGCGTCATCATCGACAACTTCAACCAGCAGAAGAAGAAGATGAGTAGCAGCCCCGCCCCGCCGCGCCGCGCCCCTCCCCGCCTCCGTCCCCTGCGCCTTTGTAGCCTCACCAACGCTGCCTGAGCACCTACCCGCTGTCGCTTGGGTCTGGGTCCCACCTGGGGGCCTTGAACAAGCGACTTGGCCTCCCTAAAGCCTGGTGTCCTCGCCTGTAAAGGAGGTGGCTACAGCCTCCCTCGCTGGGTTGTTCTAAGGATGCAAGATATTGATGGAAAGTATCGGGCCCCAAGCCAGCTGCAAGGCAGCGTTGGTCCCCTCTGCTCACTCTCAGTCCCCCTTCCCTTTCCTCCCCTCATTCCTCCACCACTGCCCCCCACCAGGTCCTCTTCCCTCTTCCCAACAGGTCCCTCTGCAGGGGTGGGGGCTGCCTTAAAGGTGGTGCCTGAGAGGGGGGATTTGGAAGATCCGGGAGAGAAGGGGGACCCCACCCCAACCTTACAGGCCCTGTCCCACTATACTTTGGAGGGAAAGACATCTTCATGACAGAGGAACAGAAGAAATACTATAACGCCATGAAGAAGCTTGGCTCCAAGAAGCCTCAGAAGCCAATTCCCCGGCCCCAGGTACCACTTCTGTGGGCCCCACCTCCTGAAGCTTGTGCCAGGCTCCTGCCCGAGGGGACCGACCGTGGTAAAATGCATCCTCACTCTGCCTGCCAGGCTGGGTCCACCTGCAGGGAGGGCCACCTCTCTGTAGCTGCACAGAGGCACTGTATACATGAACAGCAGCTGAAACTCAACTCCAACCACTGGTGACCCCTCACCTGGCCCTGCACAGCCCCCCAGTGTCCATCCATCTCCCCACCTGGGACCCTCGGCCTCTGGGGCAAGGGACTCTGCAAGGGGGAGGAAGAGGATGTCTATACACCCTCCCCAGTGGGCAGTAACTTTGGGAGAAGGGTGAGGGGTGACTGAGGGATTTTGAAGGGAGACAGGGTCCCAGGGTGAGAAGGGATGCCCACGGACCCCACAAAATGACCTGGTTCTACACCCATCGGTGGTCTGATGGGTCACCCTTCTCTCCCCTGGCTGACTTCACCACAAGCCCCAATACCTCCTCTCCCTCTCCTCTCTCTGTCATGCTGCCATGCCATCCTGTGTCTCCTGCCTGTCCATGCCCCCTACCTCCCATGTCCACACATGTATCCCTGACACTCCCACCCACGCTGCAGAACAAGATCCAGGGCATGGTGTACGACTTGGTGACAAAGCAGGCATTTGACATCACCATCATGATCCTCATCTGCCTCAACATGGTCACCATGATGGTGGAGACGGACGACCAGAGCCAGCTCAAGGTGGACATCCTGTACAACATCAACATGGTCTTCATCATCATCTTCACGGGCGAGTGCTTGCTCAAGATGCTCGCCCTGCGCCAGTATTACTTCACCGTTGGCTGGAACGTCTTTGACTTTGTGGTTGTCATCCTGTCCATTGTGGGTGAGCGGGGCCAGGTGGGCTGGCAGGGAATGCCGAGATGAGTCACTCAGGAAGGGCCGTCCTCATGCACACATCTGCTTGCACACCTGGCACACTCACACACGTTCACACATACACACGTGTGTGTGCACCTGCCATTCACTCTAAGTGCACAAAGGCACGCGTGGGTGGGCTCACGGGCAGCCCGTCACTGTGCACACATGAACACAGCTCAGGGAACACACCTGACCAGTAGAAGCACACTCAGGTGCCCATGCACTGAGTGAAACACGTAAGAGATGGTTCTAGTGTCCGCGCACACTGGAGAAGTGCATGGACATGCATGTTGTTACCATGGTAGCCGGCTGCCATTCGCTGAGCACCTGCCATCTGCCTGGCACTGTGCTGTGTGCTTTATGGGCATTATCTCACTCATGGCTCATGACGATGCCACGAGGCAGGGACTGTTATCACCCCTGTTTTACAGATAAGGAAACTGAATCACAAACAAGTTAAGTGACATGCACAGGGTCACACGGCTGTACAGCTGTTCTCTCTCAGTCTCTCTCTCTCTCTCTCTCTCATGTGCACACATGCACCCTCCCCCCATGGCATCTGCAAACAGCCTTGGGAATGGGCCTTCCCCAGACGCCATGAGCTTTGGCATATTCCACCTCCAGCTCTGTCAGGGCAGAGATGCAGCCCCTAGCCCCAGGACCCCTGGGAGAGTCCAGCCTCGTCCATCAGGTCATTTGTCCTGCCCTCCGAGGGCTGAGCTGCTGCTGCTCCTTTCTGGGGCCCCCTGAGCCCCGCCTGCTCCCTGACAGTGACCCAGCCCCCCACCCCGAGGGCAGCTGTGCTCAGTAGCTCCTCCCTGCAGGCCTGGCGCTCTCCGACCTGATCCAGAAATACTTCGTGTCACCCACGCTGTTCCGTGTGATCCGCCTGGCGCGGATCGGGCGTGTCCTGCGGCTGATCCGCGGGGCCAAGGGCATCCGGACGCTGCTGTTCGCCCTCATGATGTCGCTGCCCGCCCTCTTCAACATCGGCCTCCTCCTCTTCCTGGTCATGTTCATCTACTCCATCTTCGGCATGTCCAACTTTGCCTACGTCAAGAAGGAGTCGGGCATCGATGACATGTTCAACTTTGAGACCTTCGGCAACAGCATCATCTGCCTCTTCGAGATCACCACGTCGGCTGGCTGGGACGGGCTCCTCAACCCCATCCTCAACAGCGGGCCCCCGGACTGCGACCCCACGCTGGAGAACCCGGGCAGCAGCGTCAGGGGGGACTGCGGCAACCCCTCCATCGGCATCTGCTTCTTCTGCAGCTACATCATCATCTCCTTCCTCATCGTGGTCAACATGTACATCGCCATCATCCTGGAGAACTTCAACGTGGCCACGGAGGAGAGCAGCGAGCCCCTCAGTGAGGATGACTTCGAGATGTTCTACGAGATGTGGGAGAAGTTTGACCCCGACGCCACGCAGTTCATCGCCTACAGCCTCCTCTCGGACTTCGTGGACACCCTGCAGGAGCCGCTGCGGATCGCCAAGCCCAACAAAATCAAGCTCATCACGCTGGACCTGCCCATGGTGCCAGGGGACAAGATCCACTGCCTGGACATCCTCTTTGCCCTGACCAAGGAGGTTCTGGGCGACTCTGGGGAGATGGACACCCTCAAGCAGACCATGGAGGAGAAGTTCATGGCGGCCAACCCCTCCAAGGTCTCCTACGAGCCCATCACCACCACCCTCAAGAGGAAGCACGAGGAAGTGTGCGCCATCAAGATCCAGAGGGCCTACCGCCGGCACCTGCTGCAGCGCTCCGTGAAGCAGGCGTCCTACATGTACCGCCACAGCGGGGACAGCGGCGGGGGCGGCGCCCCCGAGAAAGAGGGGCTGATCGCCAGCACCATGAGCAAGATGTATGGCCACGGGAACGGGAACAGCAGTGTGCAGAGCGAGGCGGGGGACACCGGGTCTGCTGTGGGGCTCATGCCCATTGGCCCCTCAGACACTGCCCTGCCTCCTGCCCCGCCACTGGGGCAGACAGTGCGCCCAGGGGTCAAAGAGTCTCTTGTCTAGCAGGCAGCGTCGAGGTGGCCAGCTGCACCTTGGCACAGCCCCGAGCTGCCCTGTGGTACCTGTGCACTGATGAGGGCACAGGGCTTTGAGTCTGGGACTGCCTCCAGCCCCCTCATGCGGGACAGGATTTGGCCACTCTGGGGCTGACACCCAGGCCTGGGCACCTGCCTCCCAGGCCATGAGAAATGGGAGTTGTGCCCACGGCTCCATGCTGAGCCTGAGGCCCTGCCTCCATGGTCTTGCCTTCAAGTTGCTGTTACCTGCTCTTGGGCCCTGCCGCCCCTCATCTTGGCCTGGAGGAGGTCAGAACTTCAGAATCTCTGCCCCCCACTTGGCAAGGAGCCGGCTTACAATGGAGGGACTGGCTGCCCTCCTGTCCCCAGAGTCTTAAGGGCTACTGGCCTCTCCCCAGGAAGTGGCTCAGGCCTGCCAGCCCCAGCCCGGACAAAGATGTCTTAACCTCAGGGAGTGCAGACACCTGCCCCCATAGCACTGCCATCCCTCCCCCCTGACTCTAGGGTGTAGCTTCACCCTGCCAGCTCAGGAATTCCCTGGAAAAGGGAAATGTCACTGGTCCAGAAGTAGCTCCGCAAACCTGATTGGTCCCTGGATCCTGGTGCGTCGGGCTGGGATTTTGACTCCTGACACCTTTTCCCGGGCCGGGCTGTGTCCAGGCCCACGGCTCCCCTGGCTGGCCCTTAGGGGAAGAGCAGGAAGAAGAATTCCATTTGGAAACCTGCACGGATGGTACGGACTGGGTGCTGCCAGCTGGACCGCTGCCTGGGCCCGAGCATCAGACCTGGGGTGGGGTCAGGGACCCTGAGGCTCAGTGAAAAGATGATCCATGCTTCCTTCGCCCCTCCCTCTCTCCTCCACTTGCACCACCAGGGCTCTCTGTAGCCCTGCCCAGCCTCAGAGATCTCCCCCTGCTCATCTCTCCCCACGCCCATCTCTTCCTCCCTCCTCACCATTTTTTCCCTCCTCCTCAATGTGATCCTAAGAATGTTATGGTTGAGCTCAGGTTAGAGATTTCAAAACTAGGGCACACAGCAGGGAAGTCTCGCCCAGCTGGGGCTCAACCCTCCCACTTCCTGCTGCATGGAAAGCCAGGTGGTACTTCCGCTGGCACTGCTGATCTGCGCATGGCCAATCTGGGCATGGCAGTGCCAGGCCTCTGCTGGCTCCTGGAGAGCAGAGGCCCAGCGTGGGGGAGGGGGTGAGAGACCTGCTCAGGGGTCACTGGGTTATTCACTTGTGTGCATACCTGTGGGACTGTGTGTCTGTTTGTAGGCCTGTGCGTGTAGCTGTGTGTGTGTTCAAGCGTATGACCATATGTGTGTGAACCACTGTGTCATGGTGCCTGCACATGCATGTGTGTCTGAGTATCTTTGTGTTTGTGTGTGTCAGTGTGCCCTGGCATGTCTGAAGGTCCGTGTGAATGCAGCTGGTGCGTGTGTATCTTCTGTGCAGGCCTGTTCACGTGAGGGGGCCTGTATGTGCAAGAGCGGACCTGTGCTGTGCGTGCGTGGATGAGTGTGAACACCTGTGTTAAGGTTTGCACTGGGAGCCTAAGTTCCTCTTCTTTCTCTTCTTGTTTCTCATGAACAGTTTGATTAAAACTCAGGAAGCAGCAAAGCCTTCAAAACAAGATGTGTGTGTGTGTGCGTGTGTGCGTGTGTGTGTGTGCCCACAGGCCAGAGTCCTCCTTGTTGTCCACCCTGCTCTCCCCCACCCCGTCCTGCCTGGGCATCCCTCTCTCTCTCCCGTGGGCTCTTTTCCCCTTCCTGTCTCTTGTCATCACGCCGTGGTCTCAGCGGTGCTCCCTGTCTCCCACCTGTGTCTTCTCTGTGGAAGGAGGCCTCGACTCCTTCCATCCCTTCCTGAGGCAATTCTGTCTCTCCCTTTGGAAGGTTCATCTGATAGGGCCTCAGCCTCCCCCTGCCCAGCACCCTGCCCCTCTGCCCTTCCCTCCTGGGCCCTGGATGGGCGTGATCCCTGGAGCCTCAGAAACTTGCTGGCTTGGATATTCTCCACGGACTGTGTGCAGATTGCAGAGGAAGAGCAGAGGAGCAGAGTCCAGCCTCTCCCTGCCTGTGGCCCTCTCCCCTGCAAACCGACACCCATTCCTGCCTTGTCCAGGTGGGAGCCAGCCCCAAGCCAGGCCAGCAGATGGGCTCCTTTGTACAGTTCTTATAATAAACCCTCCCCTGATGCCTCTGAGGTGTGGGCTTCTCCCTTCTGTGCCTCCACGTGTGGATGTGGACGGGGCTAAGGGCTGGCAGGGATTGGGGCCAAATGCGGAAGATGTGGGGAGCCTGTGGGGCAGGGAGGGCAGGGTTAAGGAGGGCCCAGCTCCACCCTCTGGCCAGTCCGGCTCTCTCCTGCCCCCCCCACAAAGCCTCTTAGCTGGAGTCCAAGAAGCCAGACAAGGTTAGGGATTGTGTCCCTCCTCCCCCAACAGGCAGCACCCAGTAAATACGTGTTGGGACGACGTGTCCCCAGCCCCTCCTCTCCAGAAGCCCCCTTCACTTCTCTGCCCCCCTCAGAGACCACAAGTCACCTGTGGGGCACACAGGCAACCCCTCCCTCTGCTCAGAGGTACTGTCCCCCCAGGACTCTGCCTCTAACCCCAGAGAGCACAGAATCACATAGACCTGTGACAGCACATCCTTTTGTAGCAAACTCAGCCCAAAAACCTGGTAGGTGGATTTAATTTTACATGTAATTTCATTTTCTATAACAACTTTGGACTCCCAGGGCTGTTTTCCTCCAAACTAGTAAACACCTAATTGTTTCCAGGATTTCTGCATCCCCTTTTCCATGGTTACCTGGCACCTGAGTCGGGGATGCAGAGGGGCCCTCATAGGCCTTGGCCCCCAACTGCCCCCAAGATATCCCTCAACTGTTGCTGCAGTCACTTGCCACCTTGCAGTTCTCTTTGCATATTGAGGAGGGGTGTCGCGCATCCCTACACAGTTCTCTGAGCCCCCACCAGGGTGCTAACCTCCCTCCCTGGGTGGGGGCTCCTGTCTTAAAGTTTCCCTAGATCTCACACGGGGCTCTCTCTGGCAGGAAGGACAGGAAGACTCGCAGGGTACCCCAGCCCACCTTCCCCTGAACCTTGAAGGGAAAAGGCAAAGTACCAGGTGAGACGCACCAATGACAGATGTTTACAGCCCCCCAGCCCCGGTTATCAAGGCTACTCCGTTGAGGGCACGCCATGCTTCCAGGCACCTGGCCAGGAACTCCAGATGCCTCCCATGCACACAGCCGCCCTGCGGAGCTCAGCTGTTAGGATTATTTCTATTTCACACAGAAGAAACTTGCTGTCTGAGAGGTTAAGGATGGGTGTTGCCTAACTGGGGTGCAGCCAGCATATGGGGCCAGGAAACTCTTGGCTTCGTGGGACAGTGCCTCTCCCCACCAGGGCCTTCAGCACCCCTGTCCTGTAAATACCAGGGTATGCATTGGTCATTGTGATCATCAAAATTACCCTGACATTTTCAAATGCTCCTGGATTGGGGAGCAGGCGCATCCCTAGTTGAGAACAGTACAGAGTCAGGATTCGAGCCCATGTCCTTCGTAGCCAGCAGGCCCCCTCCTGGAGCAGCAAGCCAGCAGACCAGGAAGCCTAGACCAGGGGAAGGGTAGAGGTCTGAGCTCTTCTTTCCCAGAGGTTCTTCTCCCTCCCATCTTCCCGGTGTGGCTGGGGGTCCCTGCCTTATAGCTTCCCCAACCCCTGTGCCCCTTGTCCCTTCCCTCCATCTCTTGTTTTGATACTATCTTCCTGGAAAGGGGGGCTCTAGATGTTGGGTTGTGCAGCCCAGGGCAGCTGGGGGCAGAGGCGGGGGTGGGATTATGAGGCCTCCTGTTTGGGAAGCAAAAGGCATCATGAGCCCAGGACAGGACCCAGTGCTGTTGTCATCAGCGAGGGAACAGCACGGCCCCAACTGTGACAAATAACCCTGGAAGCGGCAGGGCCCCCACTGCTTCCACCCTTCCTGAAAACGGATCCCTGCTGGGCATGAATGGGGATGAAGGCCAAGGGACACATCAGCATCCTTGCCCCGGGGGATGTTGGTGTCTGAGAGTCTAGATGATGCCAGCTGCCCCTGCCAACTTCCGTGCCCCCTACAGTCACCCCGGGCCCCAGCTCCCGAGCAGGCCCCACACCACACAGCCCAGGCAACATACACGTATAAGTGCACACACATGTGCCCCAAGCTTTCCCCAGTTATCCTCCTGACTTTGGGGGGACACTGGCCCCAAAGTTAACCAAGGCCTCCATCACCAGGGACTTAGGAGTAGAGTCTGCTAAAGGGAGAGACCCCAGGATCTTAACCCATTCTCCACGTTGCTCCAACCACCCCCATCAGCACAGGGGCCCGTGGTCCCCGGCTGACCTCAGTGATGTTTATATTCCTGGGCTGTTTGTTCTGTGAACTGAACATTTAACACCTTTTCGGGGAAATGTTTTTTCATTCAGAACATCTGGAAACAAGCAAGAACATCTGGGACTGCCCAGAACGAGCTGTCCCTTGGATGAAATCTAACCCTCCTGTCCCTGATTTCCATAGCTTGGGTCCTGGCCTGCACCCCTCGGGAGTGGCCCCCCTCCTGTCAGATGATGCCTAGCCCCAGAACTAAAGGCAGGGGCACCCAGACACCCTGCCTTCCAACCCTGGCATGGGAGACAGTTCCGCGTCTCCCTAAACCCAGACAGACCTGCCAGCAGTGTGGGCTGTTTGAAAACTGGAGGGTCCTGGGGAGAGTGAGATGTGGACAGAGGGCACCGGGGATTTAACATCTCCCTTCCTCTCCTGTGAGCCAGGGGACAAGGGAGAGTGGGAGGACAAGATAGAGAAAAGACGCTACCAGGAGACATAAAACTCAGAGTGGGTTCGGCTGTGGGGCTGAATTTGCAAGGCTGCCATGTGCAGTTGGCATCCCCCACAGAGCGAGTATAGGACCCAGGGGCAGGGGCACAAAAGTGAGCTCCTGAACGCTGTGGCTTCATCTACTGCCCTGCAAACTGTCAGGACAGAGCCAGAGAGCCTGTTAGTTTCAGAACCTGAGGTGTCCTCTACACTAGCCTCATGTCCCCTGCCTAAGACCCCCTGGAGCTGTGACCAACACATCAGTGCCTTCAGAGTGCCACAGTTAAGAACTCCCTGAAGAAGCCCCTGATGGCTGAGTGGTGGGCTTTCTCTAAGTCCACCTCCCTTGGCAGCCCCCAGCAAACTCTCCCACAGCCTGGTGAGAGGAAGGCCTCTCACCATGGCCTGGACTAAATCTTTTCCCAAGAGGCTGCCACACTTGGCCTGCTCTTGCTCAAGAACCTCTGTGGCTCCCTTCCTCCACAGGGTCAACTTCTGACATGGCCACCTGCACTCCAGCCAAGAGGCTCTGCTCTGGGCCATTCCAAATGCCCGGCCCAGGTCCATGGCTGCCCCCCACCCCCCATCCCCTGCACTGTCCTTCCTCAGAGTCCTCTTCCCACAGGGTGAGAGCTGGTCCAGGGCAGAGGGGCTGAGCTCAGATTCATCCAGAGGACCTGTATGTACTTAGCTACATGCCTAGGAATGAAGACTCGCTGGGTTCTGCCCTTCGAGGAGCTGGCAGGCTGCAGATGGGAGGTTGGCGGGCCCAGGGGGTGACCACCAGTGGGTGAGGTCACAGGGAGGGAAGCACAGGCAGCCCCCAGAAGACTCAGAGGACCCCCTCCCGGGAGTATCCGCCTCGAATCCCAGCTGTGTTGCCCAAGTGAGAGACCTTCAAGCCTAGCAGCCCAGCTGACAGAGCCCTCCCTCCCCCAGGGTCCCCGGAGAGCTGGTGCCTCCCCTGGGTCCCCATTTGCATGGCCGGAAGGGGCCTGGTGAGGAAGAGGCGGGGAGAGGAGAGGCTACAGCCCTGGCAGTTACACGTTTTCCCCCCAGAACCTTGGGGTCAGGGCCGGAGCGGAGACCATGGCCAGGCTGGTGCTGTCTCCCGCGCCGGGCAGCTGGCTGGTGCTGCTGCTGCTGTTGCTGTCAGGTATGGCCTGGGACGAGGCCTGCTGGTGTGGCTCTCTGTCACCAGCTGTCTCTGCTCTCTCCAGCCCCCTTCTGGGTCTCTGCCGCTTTCTTCTTCTGTCTCCCTCTGGCTGCCCTGGGGCCTGGGTCTGTAGGTCTTAGCCTGGTGATGGGCTCAGGGGTCTGTGGCCCCAGCCCTTTCCTGCCTGGAGGGTGTCGGGCTGAGTTGGGCATGAGGAGCAAGCCAGGGGTAGCAGCAAGGACTGTGGCAGAGCTGGGCCCAGGAGGAAGAGGGGTGGTGAGAGCCTCACCCCCAGGCCCTGAGGGCACAGCATGGTGGAGGCAGGGGAGAGGCTGACCCAACCACACCCTGGGAGATGCATGTTCCAGAAGTGGTCCCCTCCTTGTTTGGAGGCTAGGAGAGCCTTCCTGGCTGGGACTTCCCTCTTGTCTCTTTAGACACCTGCTCAAGGCCACACCTTCAGAGGCAGAAGGGAGACTGCGGGTGGGGCTTCTGGTGCCCCCACCCACTCCTGTCTCCCCAGTGGGGGACAAGGAGGGCTGAGGGGTCTTAAGCTGCTATCCTGGAAGGAGGAAGTGTTCTGGGACCCGGGAGGGCTGGCAGGGGTAGTAGGGCAGCCACCTCAGAGCAGAGCAGCCCTGACCTGGCCCGCCCACTTCCTCCACCCACAGGTGAGACTGTGCCAGAAGCCAAAGGAGAGGACCTGTACCAGAATCCCAAAGGTCAGTGACCTCGCCTGCCCCTTCTGAGGGCAAGTGTCTGGCAACACTGCTCACTGTCCCAGGGGCTGCACCCTGTCCTGTCCTTGCCCAGGTCTTCCCATCCAGGACCCCCATCCCCAGGCCTCTTTAGGATCCCCCTCTCTGAGGCCCCACCCTGGCCAGCTGTCATTGGGCTCCAGTCCTGGCCACCTCAGGGTTGTGCTACCCCCAGGAGTCAGAGCAGGGGACCAGAGGGGATTCCATTGAGGACTCAGGCCCTGTCTGTCTGGCTGGGGAGTCAGGCTTGGCCTCAAAATGAACACTTTGGGCCAGCATTTGCTCTGTGAGGGGCTCAGGGATTCCTGGGGGCTGCCCACGGGGAGCAAGGCAGGAGGGAGGCTCCTCGGAGCAGGTAGGACGGCATTCCGAGCTGAGAAGGAGGATCCAGGAAAAAAGTGCAACAGGTCCCCGCAGGAGGGAGAGAGGGTGGAGGCAGAAACGCAAACAGGGGATTGGCCGACAAGGGCCTCAAGCACCAGGCTAAGGATTAGGTCTTTGCCCGCTGGGGGCGGCAGGGACCCCCTGAAGATTGCAAGCCATGCGGGGCAGCCTGGGGAGGGACAGGCGGGGCACCAGGCCGGGCCACGGGCTGCCCTGCTGGCCTCCAGGCCCTGGGGCGAGGCCAGGGCCGGTCTGCTGTGATGGTCGTGGAAAGGAATCAGAAGGTTCCAGAGCACTTCTGAAGGAAAATCAAACGGGTGAAGAGGCGGTCAAGAGGGGGCGTGGTGGTTTGGCCTGTGGCCTCTCACGTGGCTCAGCTCCCCCCGACCTCCACCTCCTGACTGTCGCACCCTGAGAAGCCAAGACAGGCGAGGCAGGCTGAGCCAGGTGGTCAGTGCCACCCAGAGTGGGGGCCTGCAGTCAGGGCTGGCAGTCAGGGAGATGCCAGGCAGGTTTTTGAGCCAGGCCTTGGCACCCGCAGGCAGTGCTTGTTCCCGGATCTGGCAGAACCCACGATTCATGGCCAGGAAGCGGGGCTCCACGGTGGAAGTGCAGTGCCACACGGACGGCTCCTCTGGCATCGTGAGCTGGCTCTGGAAGCGGGAGATGGACACAGAGCCACAGACACTGCTCCCCATCCAGGACCGCATCCTGCAGACCCAGAATGGCTCCGTCTTCACCCTCACCATCCAAGGCATCCAGTTTGAGAACAACGGCATCTACTTCTGCCAGCAGGAGTGCACCGGGGCCTCCCAGGGGGTCTACCTGGGCTGTGGCACTGAGCTGCGAGTCATGGGTGTGTGTGGGGAAAACAGGGTGTTCGTGTAGCCCTCCACTGCACCCCCAGCCCAGCCCACCACCCATGGAAGGGGTCATGGCCCTGGAGCAGCCAGGAGAGCTGCTGGGAAGCAGGTCCTGAGGGGTGCACAGAACCTCCACTGCAGGCCCAAAGGGTGGGCTCCCACCAGAACCCAGCCTCACGGCACCGCCCCCCACCTCCCCAGAGTTCAGCACCTTTGCACAGCTGAAGCGGCGGAACACGCTGAAAGATAGCATCATCATGATTCAGACCCTGCTGATCATCCTCTTCATCATCGTGCCCATCTTCCTGCTCCTGGACAAGGTGACCACAGGGGAAGGTGGCCCCAGGGGGCCCGGGCAGTGGCCATGGGGCAGGTCAGACCTGGGCAGGGGCTCCATCCCCAGAGCCTGCCCATTGGCTCACCTCTTCAATCACTCCCTCCCTCACTCACTCATCCATTCATTCATTCAATTGTTCTTGCAAAATGCACCTCACCCCCACCCCCTGGCCCCTGCCACACCCCCAGGCCCATCTCCCTGGCCCTCCCCAGCCTCACCCAGCAGGGGATGGGCCTGGGGGGTGTTAACACTCTGTTCTCCATCCCTCCACCCCCACCAGGATGACAGCAAGGCAGGGATGGAAGAAGATCACACCTACGAGGTAAGGAGTGTGTGGACTAGCAGCTCTGAGGCCTTGGGGTCAGTGGCCACCATCTGCTGGGGTGGTCAGGAGGTGGCCAAGGCTTGAGCTCCATTTCATGTCTCCAGGGTCTGAACATTGACCAGACGGCCACCTACGAGGACATAGTGACTCTACGAACAGGGGAGGTGAAGTGGTCTGTGGGTGAGCACCCAGGCCAGGAGTGAAGGGCCAGACCCTCCCCAGGCCCCAGGCACGGCCTCGTGGGCCTCACTGACCGCTTCGGAGCTGCCTGGCTCCCAGCCCAACCCCTCATCCCTGGACCCCCAGTCGGCCTCCAAAGCTGGCTCGCCAGAGCCACCTTCTGCTCCAGCGCCTGGTCCCCATCTCTTGCCAAAGTGTCCAGAGTAGAAGGGCAACAGGGCAGTGATCTGGAGGGCATTCTCTGGGGAGAGACTGGACCCCACCTTCTGGGGGTGCTGTGTGGGGATTCAGTCCCGTGTTTGGGACAAAAAAGGCAGAGACTTGTCCGGAACCTGCAAATGGACTCAGAGCAGACCGGCTTCCTGCAGAGCCCGGGAAGGACCATGGCCCCCGACTGGGCCCCAGAGGGGCCACTTCATTCCTCTCTCCCACCTTCTCCCACCCCACAGGGCCCTTAGCCTCAAACTCATTCTCCCATGGAATAAACAATGTGTCTTGAGAAACCACAAACAGGCTGTGACATCTCATGGGTATGGGGTGGTTGGAGTGTCTATTTATGCATGTATGTTGCCTGAATGTGGCCCGTGGGGGCCCATGAGAGAACGGGACGGGGTGACTATCATGGGCACCCTCCCATCTCTCTGATGGCCCAGGTGGAGGCTGCGGTCACATCCCCCTCTCTTCCCCGACTCTGGCCCTAACTGGGCCTGGAGCAACAGAAGAAAGGGTGATTTGGCTGTCCTCGCCCTCTGCAGGGATGCCCCCCCACCCTGCACCCCATGCAACCAACGAGCAGCAGTTGAGTCCCGCTCTGTAGGGCCAGGCTCTCAGCCCTGGAGGATCTTGCCCTCCCCTGCCTATCCCAGTCTTACTGTCCTTCAAGGCCCTCCCTGTAGGGAAGCCCTCCCAAAGCACCCAGTCTCAGCCCAAGCCCTGTCCAGACCGGCCTCTGCAGCTGTGGCTTCGCTACTGCCTCGTGCTACTCACGCTGGCCTTGGTTCTCCAGTTAAACTAGAAGCTCCCTGAGGGTAGGTGTTTCCCCTGCCTCTATAAGTCCCCCTCTACTCCCACCCCCTACCCTTCCACCAAGCCTGGAACTTTTTTTTAAGCTTCACCCACAACCATCAAGAGAGAGATTCCTAAAGAGGGAGGCTTTGCGTGGTAAAATTTGGGGTTCTTAGGTGATTTCTTCAGACTTCCCCAGATCACATTGGACCCACAAAATGGTCCTAGGGTCCTACAAAGTAGGGCCCAACCCACCAGCTGCAGGAGCTACCAGGAGCAGCTCACAGCTGGGAGGTCAAGTGTAATTAACCTGCGTGTGCAAAGCCTCCCTCCCAAGCCAGGCTATGCTCTACTGCCTGTTGACCTTGTGGGCACCCCGAAATACCTGACTGTCATTTATGTTCTGGATTCAGGCAGGGGAATCTCTACCCTCGGGGAGCTGCCAGTGTAGTTTGACAACAAAGGCCAGCCTGTGGGAAGCAGTGAGAGAAGTGCCCGTTTTCACCAGAGTCTCCCTGGCATTTCAGGTGGGGCAGGGTAAGGCACCCACACCTGGGGTTTCAGGTCAGTCTCTCCAGCACTCCCGGGCTGGGCCAAGCCAGACCAGGCCCTATTCCCTCCCTGGTCTCTGGGCTGCCAGAGGGAACTGGCTTGTTTTGGCATCTGCCTCCACTGAGCTGGAGCCCCCCCTTCCTGCTGCTTTGCATAGGGGCTCTAATTCTGTCCTCTACCTCCACAGGGACCTGGGTAGATGGTGGGGGCTGGGGGAGTCTTTACTTTTCCCCCAGGCAGGGTCTCCCCCTGCATGGGGCTGCCCTCAGCAGGGGGAGGGCTCGGCTTTACCAAAAGACTATTTAATACCTTTGAAGAACTGAGTCTCCCTAAGGCTTTGAAGTGCTTGTATACAGAGAACCATTTGAGCAGTGAGGCCTGCCCCACCATCAGACACCCCCAAAGGGCATTTGCCTTCTTCACTGACACAGAAGCCTCCCCTGGTCTGATTTTCTGTTTTAGGGGCTTAAACTTTGGGTGTCGTCAAGTCTGTCTCAGGGGTCCTGGGCCCCCAGAACTGACTATGGAAACGCAGCTGGGTGATGATGTTGGGACAATGAATGACTCAGACCTCAGTTGCTTCATCTGTAAAATGGGAATCATAAAACCTATCTGAGGGCAAGGAGTTGAAGAAGATGCTGGGTTTTTTTTTTTTTTTTTTTTTTTTTTTTTAGTCTTTTTTCGTGACCAGCAACGGGATTGCAACCCTCGGCGCTGTGCCCGCACCTTGCTCAGCCAGTGAGCAGCTGGTCTGTACGTGGGATCCGAACCCTCGGCGGGAGCGCCGCCGCACTACCAAGCAGCGCACTGTAGCAGTGCGCCACCGGGCCGGCCCAAAGATGCTGTTTTTTAAAAAATTATCATACAATAAAATTGAGTTTGTTTTCTTTTGGTGTACAGTTCTACGAAGTTTAGCCCATGTAGAGATTTGTGCAACCATCACCACAATCAGGATATAGAACATTAACCAAAAGCTTTTACCGGGCCCAACAAAGCTATATTGAGCCCCTCTCAAATGCCAGTATAATGTTATTGAGCACCTCCGTATTCATTCACATGATCTTGTTTAAGCCCCAGTGTAACCCTGGCCTGGAAGGGGGTGGCACTATCCCCATTTTACAGACAAGGAAATCAAGGTCCAGGAAAATGACTATCATTGGCCAAAAGTCACAAGCAGACCTTCTGACCCCAGACCCAGCATTCTTACCTACATATAGCTGTGCCCTTGTTGGATGTTGTAGCAATAAGACTTTGAGCCAAAGGAGGAGGAAAAGGACTAAGGGGGACGGAATCCTGGAGCGAGTTTTGCTGTCTCCAAAGGTCTGTGTCTTGAAGAGGTTTGCCCTTCCCGTTGTTCACAAGTTCAGAAGCCCCGAAGGCCCCACCCCTGGGTGCTTCCAAGCACCCTGAAGAGGAAGCCACTGGCCATACTTCCAGGAGCCCAGCTCTGGAGCCGCTCCTCCCGCCCTCCCCCTTCCCAGAATGCAGCTCAGAGGCCCTTGGGTAGGCACAGGCCCCATTGTCCACTGGGGGAATCCAGCCAGGTCCCCGGGGACTCTGGTTTAAGCACAGGCTGGTTCCTCCTCTGTTCTAGCTCGACTTCCGGCCCTCTGGCTGCAGGTGCTGCGAGGGCTGGGGTGATATGACCCAAGGGTTTGGGTGTTTTTCCTGCAGAATCAGAAATAAGAGAAAAACAATACAAACACCAAAAGCGTGGCTGTTTGGGTGGCAATGCAGGTAATGTTCGTCCCTTCTCAGGTGTCTGGTCTGGCTGGTCTTCTACACCTGGCCTCAAAGGCCATCCCGGAACGTGGTGTTTGGGATCCCGGATTCTGTCTGCTCTCTTTAGTTCACCTCAAGAGCTGGGTTCAGAGCCCACATGTGTGAAATTCTGGCTGTGTCCTAGGTCTCCAAACTACTCCTGGTATGAACCCTCTGGGCCAGCTGTTGACTCAGTTACAAACAACAATGACAAACCTTCCACTTGGGACACCCAGCTGCCCTCTCCAACCCAAAAGCCTTACTTGGAAACTTAGGTGACTACAGAGAACAAAAATGAACGAACATTAATTCCTGAGTTCGGTCAGAGTATAGTTTGTGAAAACACATTTTCACATTAAAAAAAATTTTTGAGGCCAGCCCGTGGCTCACTCGGGAGAGTGTGGTGCTGATAGCACCAAGGCCACGGGTTTGGATCCCATATAGGGATGGCCGGTTGGCTCACTTGGGAGAGCGTGGTGCTGACACCACCAAGTCAAGGGTTAAGATCCCCTTACCGGTCATTTTTTTTATTTTTTATTTTTTTTAAAAAGACCTAACACCACTTTCTGCACGTGGCAGGAGGGGGAAGGCCAGGCACGTCTAGGGCTCAGGTTCTGCAGCTTGTGCGTGTGGACAGAACGTTTGCGTGAACTTGGAATCAACATATTCATTCCGCCTTGTCTCCTTTTTCACTTCATTTTTTTCATGTACAAATTGCTGTACATTCAAAGTTCCTGTCCTCGTTATTTTAAAACAACTATGCTTCCAGGAGGACATCGAGACACCACATGGGCTGCCAGCTCTTGGCAGCCGGTTGGACATTTGAGTTCTCTTCTCGGCGTTGTCCTTCCATTTGCTCGGTCCGCTCCGCAGACACTTGCTGAATTCCCAGGCCTGGGACTGTGCCAGCTGCCCCGTCTGTTCCCTGCCTACTTTATTCTCACCTCTATATCTCAGCTATTTCCTTCATGGCAGTTTTCCCAGTTTGAAATTTCTTTCTATGTTTTACCCTTATGTATTTATTTGTTTGCTAATGTCCCTCTCCACGTAGACTGTAAGCTCCAGAAAACAAAAGATCGTGTTTCTTGTTCATCTAGGTATGCCCGTCTATCTGGCACCATGTCTGGCCTGTGATATGGACAACTATGTTGAGTCAATTAACACATGAAAAACAGAATGAGTGAATGAATTAATTAGGAATCCAGCCTCAAACAGCTTACAGTCCAGTAAGGGGAATCAGATGTCTGCAAATAACCATGGGACAAGGTAAAAGGAGGGAGAGGTAATTCCCAGCTGAGGGCACCCATCGGGAAAGCACCCCAGACTTCCCACAACACTGGACACACTTCAGTACTTACTGCTTCTTTTTTAGTGAGACTGTCTCCCTGGGGAATAATCCCCAAAGTGGAAATTACTTAGCATGCCCAGTCACGTAGATTGTTATGTACTTCCAGATTGTTCAGAGATCGTTGACCAGTGTAGACAGCACCCCATCGATACAGAAGACCGCCTGCCCCCATCCTCCCCCCAGCCTTCCAAGGCCCTTCCTCCATGCTCGAACCATTTGGCTGCACCATGTGGCAAACTCAAGGGTCCATTCAGCGAGATACAGGAAGTGAAAACATGATGTACACTGAAACGTGCAATACAAATGTGAGGGATGATGTGACTTGGTTCACTAAATCAGGCTACTTCGGGTTGTTTTTCTACCACTTTTCTTAGCATCTGTGGACACCTCATTCTGGGGCTAGAGCTCCTTGAGTTCAGTCCCCCCCCCATCTTCATTGAATATCTTCTGTGTGGGGACCTGATCCCTGCCCGGCTAGCTTCGCACTGAGGAAAGCTCTGTCCACACCTAGCAGTGCCACCATCTTTACTAGATGAGGCTTCTAAAGAGTTTGGTGTGGCAGAAAGACTGGGAGCCTTGGGTAGCTGTCCCTTAGGAACCGGGAGACCCTGGATGAGCTATTTCATCTCCTTCAGCCTCAGGGTCCTCAGGTATGAAATGGGACTCACAGGCCCTATCACTCAGCATAGTGCCTGGCACATGGTGGGCACTCAAAAATGTTGATCTTCTTCCCCACCTGCCCTGGAAAAGCCCTTGGGAATCCCCACTTAATATTCTCTGCAGACCACTGGGCTGAGTGGTCACCTTGGTGCTAAGACTCATGTATAGGATCCATCCCCAAGACCGAGGTGAGTATGTCTCTGAAAGATGAGATTGCCCCCAGTCCTACAGACTTGAACCTAAGAGGACAGAACAGTGACCTTTCACAGTAGGTACAGAGAACCCTAGAGATGGTTAAGTCTGGAAATATGAAGGACTTCCAAACCCACAGAGAAATTCATGAATTACAAATTATAAAGGGAGTGTTCTTTAAAAAAAAAAAAAAAGGATGTTTGAGGGATTCATCCTGAGCCTTTGGAAGCTGCCCAGAGATGCTAATCACAGCCTCTCCCCACTGGCCACACCAAGACCATTGCTGGGCAGTCTCTGAGCCTGAAGGAGCCGGGGGCCTGACCCCAAGTGGCGCCCGAAGAGTGCTGACTTCCCAGTACTGGAGGGAAAAATCCCAAGTCTAATTCAAAGTTATCTTCTACTAGCAATGAATTACAGATGTGGTCTCTATCACGTAAGGCCCTGGAAAGGTCCAAATTAGAGAAAAAGATCACCAGCTTCTGCCCCAACACGTGTAACCTTCAGTTCTTCCCTCTGGGTCCAGTGGTTGCCATGGTAACCTTTTGTAAAGCTGTATCCCCAGGGGACCCCCAGAGTCCTCTGGGCCAACCTGGTCCTGGGGCGACCTCACCACAGCAAATAGTCACAGATACTTAGCCTTAGAAGAGCCATTTTGTAGAATACAGCTTTGAGCAGAAAGCTAGCCATAAACAAGTCTTTTTGTGACTTTGACTCACAGCATAGCTCATGGAAAAACACTCCAGAACTTGGTGCCATCTACCTTATGGAAACCAGATAGCACCTGCATTCATTCCAAGGATAAGTTGAAGAGTTACAGGATTGACCATGAGATAATGAATAGCCCAGAGTCTACAAGACTGCACATAAGAAGCCCCCTGATGGGAACAACCTCCCCCTTTGTTTCCCATGCTCTCCTTTTAAAAACCTTGCCAAAACTCCTGAGCCTTGAGACAATCTTAGTCTGGCTGTCTCCTCAGGCACTTGCTTATAAACCTTCCAATTCTTGCATCAACATTTGACTTTTGAGTCTTCTGTTTCTGGTGAAGGGGCAGCCAAACTTGGTACCTATAACAGTAGTGCTGGAAGGAGGAGAGAAAAGGGGTGTCCTGACTTTCCCCATGAGCCTATATATTCCTGGATCTTTGATAACGTCCCAAATCCTCTCACAGGCCTGCCTGGAGAACAGCTCCCACCGTCTGGGTGTCCTCTCAGCAGATGCAGAGTTGGGAGCACCGGTTGGGCAATGCTTCAGGAATGATGGGAGAAAAAGGAACTCTATCTTCTGGTCCTTATGGGGGAGTGGCAAGACCCAAGCGTTCACATTCTAGGTCCCAGGGGTGTGAGTTTTCGATGTTGGTTGCCGACACTGTAACTGACCATTTCTAGAAGGGTTTGCTTGTTCGTTTGTTCTCCTCCAGGGTTAAGTGCTAAATGTTCTTAGACTCTGGGCTGGAAGGCTTACATGTAGGGGAATGTATTCTCTCCTGCTCTCATGCCTGCGGGCATTTGATGCTGGTGACCTGACATAGCCCTCGCCCTGGGCCCCAGGAGGCTAGAAGGCACAGCCCTCCCTTCTCAGCTCTCACCTGTCCTGCCACAAGGTTTCCAACATGCACCCCGTGACACTGGGCCATTCTCACCTGAGAATTAAGGTAGGACAATCTACCCCTTAGGGGAAGACAAAATGAGGCCAAGCGACCCTTGCGATTTGGGGCAGGATCCCTGAATTCAGAGGGATTTAGGAGTGAAAATAACTGAGTGGTATCACACAGTTGGCTTTGGCAAAAGGGCGCTGGATGAGTAAATATGGGCAGAGCACGGCTGTGGAAGTCTGCTGCCTGGGCTGAAGTAGCTCGTGCATGTCAGTGTCCCCGCACCTCAGTCTCCTCTGTGCAGTGGGGTGATGCTGATACCTTCTTCACAAGATGGCGTGAGGGTCAAATGTGAGCAAGCACAGGCACATGTTCTGTAACCCGATCAGCTCCATACAGATATTGACCTCAGAAGAAGAGGAGGAGGAGACTATCGTGACTGCATTGGGCAGCCTTCAGGGTCAGTCCTGAGTTCAGTGCTGGGGAGGACACTCAGACCTTCAAGGGCTCTTCCAATGTTGAGATTCTCTGACGGTTTCAGGGCTGTGAGAAGAAGCACTCATGGTCTGTGTCTGTCCTAGAGATTTCTGCTTCTGGTTTGCATCTCTGTGGCAGATCCGAGGAACAGGGGCGATACCCCAAGTTTGGGTACTTTGCCCCAGGGACCTGGGGTAGCCCCACGGCTCAGGCAATGGGGAGGGCAGAGTGTGGGACTGGTCCCCTCTAGTGGTCAGTATTAGCACTGCACCCAGCTGCCTCCACCCGGCCCAGGTGATGGGATGGAGATAGGAGGCAGCAAAAGTGGAATCTGGGGCTCAACTGCACCCAAACACCCCAGAATCTATTGATGTCCTTGGCCCCCTTTCTCAGCACATGCATTCTCTCTGGTGAGAACCATGCAGGAAGGAGGAAAGGAAGAGGATAAGAGTGGTAAGGGCACAGCTCTCAAGGGAACAGCCGCCCTGACATTGCCCCTTTTGGGGGGATCAGGTGAGGCCTCCCCACTCTGGTGGACAAGTCCACAATGACACACTGCTAGGGCGCACATGGACTCCGGCTACTCCCTTCTACCACCTTCCCCCTAAATAAAGGACAGATTGGGTGATTTCTAGCTGACCTCTGGCTGGGTGACCCCAACAATCCTCATGAGGCTGGTGATAGTGGGGAAGGGAAGGTGACAAGCCTGGGGGACATGACCCCAACAGGATGAGTGGGAGGAGATTTTAAATTATCCATCAGCATAGGTCCGTCAGTGGCCCCATGCATAAATGTACAGAGAAAATAGGTGGGGGCAGTGGGAAGAGAGAAGAGACCAGGTATAAAAAGGGCCCGCAAGAGACCAACTCCAGGATTCCAGGCCCAGCTCCCCAAACCACTCAGGGTCCTGAGGACAAGTCACCAGCTGCAATGGCTGCAGGTAAGCGCTCCTAAAACCCCTTTGGGCATGGCGTGTACTGAGGGGAGAGGTAGCAGCCCTGCAGATGGGATGGGGGCACAAATCCTAGGATCTGGGACTTCTGAATGTATGTATATCCATCTAAGCCCAGATGGTTGGCCAAGGTGAGAATGCTGTCAGCCCCTGGGGGGGAGAGGGAGGAAAAGGAACAGACCCTGGGGCGGGAAGAGAGCTAGCCTCTTGCTCTCGGCCCCTCCCTCTCCCTCCCGTCTCTCTCCAGGCTCTCGGACCGCCTTGCTCCTGGCTTTTGCCCTGCTCTGCCTGCCCTGGCCTCAGGGGACTGGCGCCTTCCCGAACATACCCTTGTCCAGCCTGTTTGCCAATGCTGTGATCCGAGCCCAGCAACTGCACCAGCTGGCTGCCGACACCTACAGAGAGTTTGTAAGCTCCCTAGTCATGGGTGCCTGGTTGGGGAGGGCTAGAAGGGGTGAACACCCCCCTGGGAAGTCATGGGAAGAAACTGGGAAGCTCAGAGTGGAAGCTCAAACTGGAAGCTCAAACTGGAAGCTCACTTTTATGCAAGTGAAGATGCTGTAGATGAGCATAGACTGAGGGAGTTCCCAGTAAAGCAGTGATGAGAACCAGTCACTACTCTGACCTTGGTGGGCGGCCCCTCCTGCAGGAGCGTGCCTACATCCCGGAGGGACAACGATATTCCATCCAGAACACACCGACTGCCTACTGCTTCTCGGAGACCATCCCGGCCCCCACAGGCAAGGAGGAGGCCCAGCAGAAAACCGTGAGTGGATCCAGTTGAGGAACAGGGCCCCCCTCTTTGGAAGCAGTTCTCCCTTCTCTCCCCAGGTGGCCCCCCTGCACCCCTGGCCAGGGGCTGCCTTCTCCCCCAAACTGGGATGGCACGGAAGGCCCACAGGCAGTGGCCGGCCCTGCGGCATACCCACTGCCCAGCCCTTCCCCGCAGGACATGGAGCTGCTCCGCTTCTCGCTGCTGCTCATCCAGTCGTGGCTCGGGCCCATGCAGTTCCTCAGCAGGGTCTTCACCAACAGCCTGGTGTTTGGCACCTCGGACCGTGTGTATGAGAAGCTGTATGACCTGGAGGAAGGCATCCAAGTCCTGATGCAGGTGAGGAGGATGCTGGGGGGCCACTGCCCGCCATCTGCTTGTGCCTGGAGCCCCTCCCCCCCGCTGGCTTAGCTGAGGGCTGGGGGCTTTCATGGGGCTGGGAGGGGGAGGGAGAGAAATAATGCTGTTCTCTTTTTTAGTGGTCAGGATTTGACCCAGGAGAACTCATTTCTCATTCCCTCTTTTGAATCCTCCAGGCCTCTCTCTGAGCCCTGGAGGGGAAGGAGAGAAATGGACAGCAGAGGGAGGGGACAGCTCCCAAGAACTGGGCCTCTGCTTCTCTTCCTTCCCTTTGCCCGCAGGAGCTGGAAGATGGCAACCCCCAGGCTGGGCAGATCCTCAAGCAAACCTATGACAAGTTTGACACAAACTTGCGCAGCGATGACACACTGCTCAAGAACTACGAGCTGCTCTCCTGCTTCAAGAAGGACATGCACAAGACTGAGACCTACCTGCGGGTCTTGAAGTGTCGCCGCTTTGTGGAGAGCAGCTGTACCTCCTAGGTTCAGGGCATCGCTATCACCCCTCCACAGTCCCTCCCCTTACCCTGGAAAGTGCCACTCCAGTGCCCACCATCCTTGTCCTAATAAATTAAGTTGCATCATATTGTCTGACCAGGTGTCTTTCTATTATAGGGTGGAGGGGGGCAGAATGGGGCAAGGACAAGTTGACAAGACAACCTGCAGGGATCCTGTGGGGTCTATCCGGAACCAGGAACTCTCACTAACCCAGCTCTTCCTGAGCCAGAATGAAGCTGACACATCACTTCTCCTATTACACACCAAGTCCACTCCCCCCAGCTAGGTGACCCCTAGGTGACCCCAGCTTGTTAAGCAAGGTCATAGGTAACCCCCACAAAATACTTAGGGGGGTTCCTCCTTCCCCTACCAGCACCAGCAACACCAAAACTAGCCCCCCAAGAGTGGGAAGAAATAAAAACAAGGCAAGCTATTAAGCACAGAAGCAAAATGCCCCAACAGGTGAGAAAAATCATAGAATTACTTTTGTGTAGAAATTTTAAGATGAATACTAATTAGGCCCAACTACCCTTGGAAAATGAGAACAATGCAAAAATGGGTTTTGGACAAACAGAACCAGAGTGTTTGGATCTGAACTGGGGCAAGAGAAGTGGAAGAGAGATCCTAAATTAGGGGTTGCAAATACAGGGCCAGCAGGTGCCAGGTAGATAACTATGTAAGTCACCGGGGCTGGATGTGAGGGGATAAATCGCAGCTGACGCTCAGCCTCCTTATGAGGGAAACGATGGGGAAGGGAGGGCAGGGGAGGACCAGTGCAATCTGAAGAACTCAGGACCCAGCTGAGGGGGGACCCATCCAGCCTTACAGCCATTCAGGACTGCAGAAATAGGGCTGCCAAACATTCTGATTCTTTGGGACAGCCAGGACATCCAGACTTTTACATGAAATCTAATTTTTAAGAATTGGCAACTAAAACATATTGAAAGCATCTTAAGGGCAAAAACTAACGCAAACACATTTGGTCTTCAAGCTGTCAATGAGCAACTTTGTTCTCAGAGCAGTGGGTTGGGATAACTTTGTATAAGAGAAAGAATCAGAAAGACTTGGACTGTATATAATTTGTGCTCATGAACAAGTTAATTGACCTCTCTGAGATAATATATTGCTTTACAAGGCTTATGTGAGGACTAAATGAAATAATGTTTCTAAAGTGCTTGACATAATTACAGCACGCAAAAAATTGTAGTTATGTTTACACTAAATTTTGGGGTGTTTCATGTTTTCTGATGGAATGTCTAAACACTTGTTATTAAATCATATTCTGTTTTCCTAATGGCTTCTCAGATGTTTCTTATTTTCTTTCTTTTTTTTTTTTTTAAAGATGACCAGTAAGGGGATCTTAACCCTCGGCTTGGTGGTGTCAGCCACCAAGAGGATCCGAACCCGTGGCCCTGGTGTTATCAGCACCACACACTCCCAAGTGAGCCACGGGCCGGCCCCAGATGTTTCTTATTTTCAAATGAACTTGAAAGGGCAGTGGTTCATGCTTTATAGTTAAGTTTTTTGTTTTTGTTTTTGGGGGGACGGCTGGCCAGTACTGGCCAGTATGGGGATCTGAACCCTTGACCTTGGTGTTACAAGGCTGCACTCTAACCAACTGAGCTAACTGGCCAGTCCTTATAGTTAAGTTTTTAGTCTCCTGAGCACCTTGGATAAGTGCCCAGTGACCTATAAATCAATACTTAAGTGCTCAAATTAATTCTGTCATCTAAAAATTATTTTATGTGGTCAATAATTTTTATAATGCAAAGAAGAATCAACCACCTAATTAATTTTCTTGAGAAGTTCAGATTTTTATGTGCTATAATGAATTTTCTTTAAAATAGAACCACCTGTATTCATTTTTGGGTATTTTACATTTAGTAGTGTTAAGTCTTTGAGGAGTGGTTGAAAGCAGGAATAATCAGAACTACGAAGCTCCATTTCTTGCTCAGGAACCATTCCTCTGCCTTAGAACATCTTTATTGTCTGGCTTTAAAACCATGAAATTTTGAAGTTAGAAGGGCCTCTTAGGACATCCTAATTCCTTCTACTTTAGGAATTATTCTATAGTATCTGTTACAGATGGTATTGTGTAGCACTACAACCAAAGAAATCACTATTTCACAAGACAATTCATTCTATTAAACCACTCTGGCTTCAGAAAAGTATTTTTACATTAAATGTGTAGTCAATATCCCTATAACATCCCTCATCTGCACTAAGAATTGCTTAAAAATTTCATAGTCTTTAGAAGTTGATGTAGGGCCGGCCCGTGGCTCACTCGGGAGAGTGTGGTGCTGATAGCACCAAGGCCACGGGTTTGGATCCCATATAGGGATGGCCGGTTGGCTCACTGGGTGAGCGTGGTGCTGACAACACCAAGTCAAGGGTTAAGATCCCCTTACCGGTCATTTTAAAAAAAAAAAAAAAAAAAAAAGAAGTTGATGTAGTGAGTACAAATATAATCATCTCTTGGCTTGAATACATGTTTTAAAAGGAAACGTGAGCCATCTTAACGTGTTTGTGCAATGAATATGGCAGGGGAGTGACAACATTCAGTGCCTAGACAGGGGTGTTACAACTAGTAAGAGGGCTCTAAAGTGGGGTTGTCATGACAGCATTGGACTGCAGGGGAGCCACACTCCAGAGAGAGACCACTTAGCTCCACCTGAATGTAGCAGAATCAACTCAGTGCCACTGATTGGGAATTACAAAGACTCTAGCTAAATTGCAAAATTTTAGAATTCGAATAAAGACCTTAAAGACCATCTACCCTGGGGCTGGCTGGTTAGTTCAGCTGGTTAGAGAATGGTGCTGATAACACCACGGTTAAGGGTTCATCCCTACTGGCCAGCCCAAACAAAAAAGACTTCTACCCTAAACATTTTGATTTGCCAATTGTTATTCCACCTTTCAGCTCTTCAGTTAGGCAGCAGATGGCAACCTCAGCTGTAACTTAACGCCTGGGGTGTTTTCTGAACAACTCATGCATTAACCTCCACTCTCTGGAGATTCTTATTTAATTGGTCTGGGATGGGGTCCAGGCAAGAATAGGTTTTTTTTTTTTTTTTTTCCTTTTTGTCTTTTTTTACTGACCGGTACAGGATCGCAACCCTCGGTGTCGCGCCCGTACCGGGGACGGCAATGGGATCGCAACCCTCGGTGCTGCGCCTGCGCGTGCTCAGCCAGTGAGCGGGAACCGGTCACCACATGGGATCCGAACCCTCGGTGGGAGCGCCACCGCGCTCCCAAGCAGCGCACTCTCCAGTGCGCCACCAGGCCGGCCTGTGGCAAGAATAGTTTTAAAGGACCCCCAGGTGATTTGAATGTGCAAACAAGGGTGAGAACCACTGAGTTAGAGACCAGGAAGATGAGATGCGTGTTCACAGCTATGGTGTAGGAAAAACAGAGCAAAAGGAGAAGAGCAACCCGGGCCAGTTACGGCGCTCTCTGCTTCTAATTCTAACCAGTCATTGAAAACATTTTTCTAATAAGCCAGTCACAAAAAGACAAATACTGTATGATTCCACTCATACAAGGTACCTAGCGTAGTCAAAATTCACAGAGATAGAAAGTGGAATGCTGGGGGCTGGCCTGTGGCTCACTCGGTAGAGTGCGGTGCTGATAACACCAAGGCCACGGGTTCGGATCCCATATAGGGATGGCCGGTTCGCTCACTGGCTGAGCGTGGTGCTGACAACACCAAGTCGAGGGTTAAGATCCCCTTACCGGTCATCTTTTAAAAAAAAAAAAAAAATTGTTTTAATTATTGTAATTTTTTTGCTTTTCCATATAAATTTTACAATCTTTTCAAAAAGAGTTTATTTTTTCAGTTGAAATGTATTGATTGTACATATTGTGAGGGCCACAGTTATACAGAGTTATATTTCAATACATGTATGCAATGTGTGATGATCAAATTAGGGTAATTAGCATAGTAATCATTGTAAAATGTTATCATTTCTTTGTGATGAGAACATTTGATCTCCTCTTTCTTCTAGCCATTTGAGAACATAGAATAAGTTGTTAATTATAGTTGTCTAGCACTACTATACACCACTAGAACTTATTTTTCCTATCTAACTGCAA